CTAATTGGACTCAACTGTCCAGTTAAAATTAGATGTGGTCATTGGTCCCTTTAACAAGCACTTCAGACTGTTGTAGAACACACTGTTAAATAGTATCTATTATGCTTCTCCATTAAAATAAAATTCCTTGAAGTGTCAGAGCATGTTTAATAATCCCTCTACCAATGAGTGATGAACCCAAACTTTATTTTTTTTTTATTTTTTTATTTTTTTTTTTGGTTTTTCGAGACAGGGTTAACCCAAACTTTATTTTAAAACAAAATTTTGTTGCTGAAGTGTGTGTGTGGGGTGTCTCACTATATCATACAGGCTGGCCTTGGACTTGAGTCCTGTTTCAGTCTGCCTAAGTGCTGGGATTACAGATGTATACCAGCAAGTCTGGCTCTAACATACGTACTTCATTAAGGAATGATGTTCTAGTTCTGCAAGTTTCAGAAAGCACTCGTCACAATAGATTACTAAGGAACATAAAGCTTGGCTTAATATTAAATTTCAAAGTATATGAGTGAAACTAGACATATTTACGTAAAATTTGTAACATTTATTTAAGCAAAAAAATCCCAATTTGTACATACAACATTAATACTTAAGTACTGTTCCATTTGAATATACAGCATGATTCATGTGCAGAATACTCTTGCTCACCAGGCCATAACCAGAATACCTTTAGCCCAAACAATTCAGGATTGTTGTCTGAGATATACACATTCAGTTTCCTGATGGGTTTCCATTCCTTGAAGAGGTAAACACATAGGAGTTCAAAGAAAAGACAGTTTTTCATATGCACAAGTTTAAAATTTGACAGAGGAATCCTGCAGAATCAAAGATTTTATTTTTGTCATTAATCACTTATTTTGAACTTTGCAAATAAGGTTTTTCTATATAGCCCAAGATGGCCTGGACCTCACTTAGCAGCTCAAGCTGGCCTCCAATTCAAGACCCTTCTGCTTTGTCTCCTCAGTGTGGACATTAAAAGTTGGTGATTAATTTTGTTAGACTTCTCTATTTAATGTGGGGCATGAGTGTGTACATAATGCATACATGGGCTCAGAGGACAGCTTGTGGGAGTCAGCTGGCTCCTTTGACCACAGGGAAGGGAGCTCAGCCTTGGCAGCAAGCGCCTTTACCCGTTAAGCCATCTCACTGGCCCACACAAGTCGGTGACTGAAAAAAGGTGTTTCTGCAGACTGAGAAATCTTGACATTCTTTAAGAGGAAAAAAATGTTCCCAAAGATTTCCTTTTATGAAAAGTGACTCACCTTTCATTACTTAAAAAACTTCTTGCTTCAAAGTTGATTAAAATAAGATTAAAAGAGTCCGGTGTAATGGTGCACACCTTTAATCTCAGCATTTGGAAGGCAGAGGCAGGTGGATCTCTGTGACAGATCCAGGTCAGCCTGCTGCTCTACAGAGCGAGTTCTAGGACAGACAGGGCAACATATTAAGACTCTTGACTAAAAAAAAAAAAAAAAAAAAAAAAAAAAAAAGGGAGAAGCAGGCAGATCTCTGTGAGTTCAAAGCCAGCCTGGTCTCCAAAGTGAGTTCCAGGAGAGAAACCCTATCTAAAAAACAAACAACCCTCCCCTGCAAAAAAAAAAAAAAACCAACAACAAACAAAATCCTTAAAGGAACTCAAAGTTTTCCATAAAGTAAGCTCAAAATCAAGTCTTACCATTAATGAAATAGATTTATGATCTGCCACAAAATAATTTTGATAAAACTTGAAAAAAATATGTATAACTGGTTTTTCAAGACAGAGTTTCTCTGTGTAGCCTGGCTGTCCTGGAACTCACTCTGCAGACGAGGCTAACCTCAAACTCAGGGATCTGTCTCCAAACCCTGGGATTAAAGTCATGCACTACCACACCCAACTAACAATTATATGTGTGTGTGTGTGTTGTTGTTTTTTTTTTTTTGCATGTTTTGTTTTTTTTTTTTTTTTTTTGGTTTTTTCGAGACAGGGTTTCTCTGTAGCTTTGGAGCCTGTCCTGGAACTCCCTTTGTAGACCAGGCTGGCCTCGAACTCACAGAGATCCACCTGCCTCTGCCTTCCGAGTGCTGGGATTGCAGGCGTGCGCCACCACTGCCCGGCATTGTTTTTTTTTAAAAAAATATTTTTTACGGTTTATTTAACTTTATTTTATGTGCATTGGTGTGAAGGTGTCAGATCCCCTGCAACTGGATCTTCAGACAACTGTGAGCTGCCATGTTGGTGCTGGGAACTGAACTCAGGTCCTCTGGAAGAGCAGTCAGTGCTCTTAACCACTGAGCCATCTCTCCAGCCCTGTTGTTTGTTTTTTTGAGACAGAGTTTCTCTGAAGCTTTGGGGGTGGGGGGATCTTTTTATGTTACCCAGGCTCATCTTAAACTCACATCTCACTTAAGTCCTCAAATTTAAGTACTCAAATGACCTTACCTCAGCCTCCCTGGCATCTGAGAATATAGGGGAAGACAGTATAGACCTCACAATCTTCCTGCCCCAGGACTTGCATGTTAGGTTACAGCATATGTTAGCACACTGCCTGGCATGTTCTTACCACTGGAGGCAGAGGCAGGCGGATCTCTGTGAGTTCGAGACCAGCCTGGTCTACAGAGCTAGTTCCAGGACAGGCTCCAAAGCCACAGAGAAACCCTGTCTCAAAAAACTGAAAAAAAAAAAAGAAAAGAAAAAAAAAGGCAAAAATAGCTGGGGGTGGTGGTTCATGCCTGTAATCTCAACATTTAGCATGGGGAGGCAGCATTCAAAGTCATCCTTAGATACATAGTTTGAGACCAGCTTGGGGTATGTAAGATCCTGTTTCAAATAAAAAATGAAGCAAAACCAAAAACTAAGCCAAACTTACTGTTCAATAAGTCACCCCAATTTTGCATATTTAATGTGTTCAGTAACATATACCAAAGGGGGGAAGTATGGTTGAAGAGCATCAAAGACAGACCAGTGTTATCTCAACAGTCATGCTGAAGTGACTAACAGTCAGGAAGGTGGTAAGGTGGTGTGTTTGGGGCTCACAGGCAGGATGGTTGAGAGTTCTAAACTAGTTCTAGTTACATGAAACAGAACAAAGGAAAACAAAAACAAGTAAAAAATATAAAAATTGAATAGGAAGACAACAGGCCAGCATAAAAGGACTCATTTGTAAGAGAAATATCATTAACTGGATTTATATGAGTGATGCAGTTTTTGTTTTGACACAAGGTCTCCCTGCATAGCCCTGGCTCTCCTGGAACTATGTCGATGAGACGAACCCTAAACTCACAGAAATCCACCTGCCTCTGCCTCCCAAGTACTGGAGTAAAGCCGTGAGCCACCAATCATGGCTGGTTGGTGGTTTGAAACATGAACCTTTGATTCTTTAGAAACAAAAAATAGAGAAGCGAACTCCCAGGGCGGTTTTCATTCATCCTGAGTGGGTGAACTCGCCTGCCGGGCTAACAAGCAGCAACAGTAATGGTCGATTTCTGAGCCTGTGGGTCTGATAGGGCTCTCTTAAACCTTTAAATCAGCTACAATCAGTAGTCACTGTGTCCACCCCATTACTTCTTGATTTATGGTTTTATTAAGATTTTTAGTTTTCTGATAGTAGGAATTTAACTCAGAGCCACTCACCCTAGTACTGAGCTGAGTTACACTCTCAGCCCAGGAGAAAAAGTCAGAGTATAAAGACCACAGCAAAACTTACTTGATGCACAAACACCAGATGCTTTGATCTGCTATACTTTGCTTTATTCGATTACAATCTTATGAAGTCTTATTTCATTTCCTTGCTGGGCGGGATGCTGGGGACTGGGCCTGGGACCGTGTGCATGTATTTCCTTCAGCTGACCCAAGTGTTACTACTCAATGGCTTGTGTCTGAGTACACTGATGGGTTCAACAAGGTCATTCAGCTTAGTCTAAGCTGCTTGAAAGCACACCCCTAAGCCAATGACTTTGGGAGTAGCAAGTACTTCATTATGGTCGCCAATTATGAAGGAGAGACCTGTTAGAGACTGGCTGGACAACCATACATGTATTTACTATATTTTGGCTATACTCAGGATTTAGCTATATTCAGCTATTTTCAGTTAGAATTGAAAATCCTGTCTTAATGACAGCTTTCAGAACCGTCCCAGAGCCAGACACAGCAGCACGTGCCTGGAATCTTAGCACTTACGCAGAGTTGTCAGCTGAGTGGGATCAAAGTCGACCACAACCCTGTGTCTCTATTTAGTGAGACGCTATCTCAAAAACAAAAACACACCACTCCCCAACAACCAAAAATCAAAAGCACAGAGGTGTTAACATCTTGATATATTTGGGATGTGAACAGTTTTTGTTTAGGTCTGGAATGAAGTCTTGACTGACCTGTGAAATATAAACTGAAATGTATTTGAGTCTTCATGTATCAGGTTACTGTGAAAAATTCTGTAGTTTTGGCTACTCTTGTTCTGCTTCTTGAGACAGGGTTTTGAATTTGCTATGCAGCTGGTGATATTGGGATTACAGGTGTATGCCACCACAGCTGGCTTCTTATTCTAAAGATTAGTAAAGCAGACAGTTTAGTATTGTTCTATAGCAACATGCACTCTTGTCCTGACATCTGAAGCCAAAGTTCTCAAATACGCTCTCCCCAAGCATACTAGGTAGACCTGGCTGGTCAATAGCACCAACTTGTGATTTACTGCAGAATATCCTGCTGTCAAAATTTTAATTTTAGACATTAAAATTGGGGGTGAAATGTTAACAAAAAGCAAAACTCCTTTGACAGAATTTTTCTCTAAACTATGATTAACTATGAAGAATGCATCCTTCTGTGGTGGAGCTGTTGAGACAAGCATCACTAGGTAGCCCAGGCTAGCCTCAAACTTCCAACAACCCTCTCTCTCCGTGGCAATCATAGGTTTGAGCAACCATTTCAGGCAAAAATGTATGTTATGGCTCTAAAAATCCCTGGAACCAATGAAGTAAGAATTAAACCACTGTTTTATATGGCTTTTTGATAATTCTGTGTATCTGTTTTCTTTTAGTTTGATTCAGTATTCATTCCTACAAAGGAAGCCCTAAACATTCAAGTCTGAAGTGCGACAGCAGTATAAACATGAGTCAGACATGTTAAAAGCATACGAATGAGTCAATCAGCTTGTTGGGTTTTTTTCTTTTTTTTTTTTTTTTTTATAGGCAGGGACTCTCATGTAGCCCAGGCTGGCTTAGAACTCACAATCCTCTTGCCTTCATATTCTACATTACAAGCCCCCATGCCCAGCTTAAACTAGCTCCCCTTTACACTGAAATATTGGTGAGTTATTTAAAAATATCATTTTAAAGTTCTATTGAAAGCATTTTAGATGTGTAGGAATAAAATGTGGTCATAAGAACTTTCAGGTTCAGCCCGCTCACAGAACGAGCTGCTGCTGTACTTGTTTGGGATGGGTCTCGCTATCATGCCACCTGCTCTGTGGTGCTTTAGATTAAGGGCAAGTGCTGCCAAGCTTCCTTAAAATTAAAAATTTGCTCTGTTTTGTGAGAAACAGTTTCCCTCTATGGCCCAGGCGGGCTTGCTACTCTGTAGTCTAAGTTCATCTCTAACTTCTAGTTCCTTCTGTCTCACCCTTGTGATTACTGGATTATAGGTCTCCACTATTTCCATCTTAAAATGGAAATTAAGTTTGTTGGTAACTTGATATATCCCAGGTTTGTAGGACAATAACTGACTCTTCATTATATCAACTATCTTAAAGGGCAGGCAACTGTCTAAAAGACGTCCATCAAAACTTTCCTTCTACCCACGCGGCTGCACGTGTAACCAGTTAGCAGCCTCTTCTTCTCCTGCACCTTTGAAGTGAGGTGTGGACATCTTCTTCTAACATGACACATAATGAAGATACACTAACAGTCTCTCTGACACAGACTGGCCTCAAACTCATGGCACCCTCCCCCCACCTCAGTCTCCTGAGTGAGTACAGGTATGAGCCATTTATGCTAACAGATAACCATATTTTATCAGAAGAGAGAAAATTAACATTTCTGTATGTAGTGCTGGGTATTGAATCCATACATGCTAAGAACACACTCTACCACTGAGCCACACCCCAACTCAAGGTTAAATTTTTATAGCAATTTTTCTGTTGTCAATTGTATTTTAACTAAGCAAGTTAACTCTGTAAATAGTCTACTCCACTGAATAAAAATGACTTTGGAAAAGAAGGGGTAAAACAGGCAGCTTAACCAGCGACATTTAAAAAACCGCACTCTTACAGCATGACAGCCAGTGTCTCTGAGAGGCTTTGACATGCAATGCTGTGACGCTACACTATGTAACTGGGCAAGTAGTTCTAGAAGCCTGCAGAAAGAGTCCACGCTCCCAGACTTCAGCTTGGAGAACAGCTCCTGCTCCCGGCCTTGGGAGAGGGGCTCAAGGAGAACCTGTCCATTCTCAGAGCTAAAAAAGCAATGTCTAATTCCTCTTCAACTCCGTTCTTCTTTCATAGCTTCTCTTTCGTTTTTCTTTGACTGCCATCCAGGCTCCAAACAGCAGAGCTTCCAGAGGCACAACAGTTTCCACTCATACAAACAAGTGCATCTTGTGGAAGACACACAGAGAATGAAGGCATTTTTACAGAAGCGTAATAAATCTTACAATCGAACAGTGCTGATGTTGCGTCAGCAGCCCTGCTCACACTGCAAATTACCTGGAAGGGCTCGAGAGAAGTCTGGCCTAAGGGTTCGTGCAATTTATCATAAGACTGTAGAATCTCAAGCACAGGTTAAGTTCAAACATGAAAGATTTCCTAAAAGATAATAATGAAGGAAGACCTTTCTCCTCCTAAGTTAAAAATCACAGAACAAATCAGACTGTACATTACCAAGCCCAGATGGATCACAGGACTCTTATCACAGACATCCCCACACCAGAGAGCACACCATTCCACAAAAATGATTTCCACTGTTCATTTCTAACTGTCTATGGCTATCAATTTAGTCGGGCCTGGGGCTGCTTTTTACAGGGAGGGGGCCTCCCATGGCGCACAATGTGCTTTTCTAAACTGTCCAGAATGGCTACAGCAATCTGCTGGACGTAGGGGTCTGTCTGCTCATGCTCTTTGATGTTGTACAAATGCTGCAGTCCTCCTTCTTCAATCAGCATGCTGCAATACCTTGAAGCTGAAAGAAAACATGACATTTCTCTTAAAATATTTTTGTTTTGAAGTTATCCCACAAACCAAACAAATTCTCCAGAGCTTAAAACAAAACAAAATACATCAAAGGCCAGGCATGGTGGTACATGAAGTATATCTACATACTAAAGACTCTGTCAAAAAAAAAAAAAAGCTGGGCGATGGTGGTGCACGCCTGTAATCCCAGCACTCGAGAGGCAGAGGCAGGCGGATCTCTGTGAGTTCGAGACCAGCCTGGTCTACAGAGCTAGTTCCAGGAGAGGCTCCAAAGCCACAGAGAAACCCTGTCTCGAAAAACCAAAAAAAAAAAAAAAAAAAAAAAGAGAGAGAGAGGACGGATCTCCGTGAGTTCGAGGCCAGCCTGGTCTACAGGAGCTAATTCCAGGACAAGCGTTCACCTCTATTAATCTCTTTATTTCTTTGAATTCAGGAATCTTAAAAAGAATTATTCTTATTTTATGTGTATGGGTATTTTGTCTACTTCTCTACATGTATGTCTGTGTATCCCTTTTATGCCAGGACCCAGCGAAAGGCAGAAAAAGGTATCATATCCCCTGGAACTGGAGTTACAGATGGTTGAATCACTATGTGGATGTGAGAATCCCAAACTCAGATCCTCCAGAAGAACAGCTGGTGCTCTTAACTGTTGAGCCATCTCTTTAGCCCAGCCTTTTGTTTTGTTGAAACAGGTTTCTCTGTGTAGTCCTGGCTGTCCCTGAACTTGCTCTGTAGACCACACAGGCTTTGAACTCAGAGATCCACCGGCCTCTGCCTCAGAAGTGCTGGGATTAAAGGCGTGTGCCACCATGCCTGGCTACCCAACTATTTTTTTTAAACGTACCTATTTCTTTCTCTCTTTCTGATTTGTTTTTCTTGTAAGACATGGTCTTGTCATGCAGATCAGACTGGCTCTAAACTTTTTTTGACCCTGTCTCAACTTCCTTAGTAGTGGAACATAAGTGTGCCACAAAGCACACCTGCCAAACACTTTGGAAGGATTCACTTAATTCGTAACACGACCTAAATCTCTTATTCTATATTTTAAGTGTCGTGGGCCTGGGAAAATGGTTCAGTGGGTACAAGGGTTTGCTGTCCAAGCACAAGAGCCTGAGTTCTAATTCTAGAACCCACATAAAAAGTCAGGCATGGCCATGTGTGCATGTAATTTCAGCTTTATGGGATGAGAAAGGCCAGTTCCATTAAATCCCTGGCCAGCCAACCTACCCAAAACAGCAAACTTTTGGTTCAGTGAGAATAAGGCAGAAGGCAAGAGAGAAAGACACCTACACCCTCCTCTGGCCTTTGAATGGGTGCATGCACACACAAAATCATGTGTGTATCTCCCACACACACAGAGAAACACACACATGCACACACACACTTGCAAGTAAATGTACTTAAAAATCCAGGAGTCATGGAGCATCCCTTTAATCCCAGAACTTGGGAGGCAAACAGGTGGATCTCTGTCAGTTCAAGTCCAGCCTGGTCTATATAGTAAGACCTATTTCAAACAAAACAGAAAACAGTCGGATATACACTTTAAAAATTGCTTTTGAGCTGGGTGTGGTGGCACCTTTAACCCCAGCACTCAGGCAGAGGCAGGCAGATCTATACGAGTTCAAGGCCAGTCTGGTGTACTGAAAGAATTCCAGAACTGGCTCTGTAGCTACTACAAAACCTTGTCTTGCCGGGCGGTGGTGGCGCACGCTTTAATCCCAGCACTCGGGAGGCAGAGGCAGGTGGATCTCTGTGAGTTCGAGGCCAGCCTGGTCTAGAAGAGCTAGTGCCAGGACAGGCTCCAAAGCTACAAAGAAACCCTGTCTCGAAATATCAAAAAAAAAAAAAAAAAAAAAAAAGAACAAACCTTGTCTTGACACCCCCCCCCCAAAAAAACCCCAAACCAAACCAACATCTTTTTTTTAAAAAAAAAAAAAAAAAACAAAAAACAAAAAACCTTTGTCTTTCTGGGCTGAAGGTGTGTGCGTGTGCGCATACAGGCATACACACACACACGACTTGTCCAGCCATGTTCTAGGCATGGTGGTACATATCCATCTCACCGACTCAGAAAGTTGAGGCACGAGAACTGCTGAGAGTTTATGGCCAGCCTGAGCTATATAGTCAGTTCTGTCCCAGCTTGTCAGGACTACATAGGAAAGACTCAACAACCCTTCACCCCTCAAAATGACTTTCTTTCTGTAAAGGAGCATTTCACCTGAACCATAGTTCTAATTTTGGTACATACGGTTCTTGCTGCAAACATGTTGCATGGCCCAAACTGCCCATAGCTGGACTCCCGGTGTTGTAAAACAGCCAAGCAGTGGGAAAAATGGATTAAAGGACCTAAAGGTTCAAAACAAAAGAATCAAAGTCACATTTTATACAAGCATCATTTTCTAAGCAGTGATTCTTACGTCGTTAAGAAAAGGCATGCTATTTCTAGACTGATACAAAGGGTCAATACACATCTTCTCTTTGTCACAGTTACTTCAGAAAGGATTGCACTGAGACACAGTAGCACACAAAAGGTATTTAATACACTGTATGAAGGGAGGGGGTGAGGATTTTCAAAAGTCTTTGTTTTGTTTTCCTTTTTGGTCTTCCCCCTTAGATATCTGAAAAAGTACACTTTACACTTTAAAATTAGTTTTAATCGGGAGGCAGAAGCAGATGGAGTTCTGTGAGTTTGAGGTCAGACTGGTTTACAGACTGAGTTCCAGGACAGCCAGAGTGAGGAAGAAAGATGCATCTTTAAAAAAACAAAAACAAAAACAGATGAGGGGATGGTGGGGGGAGAAGAAGTAAAGGCGTGCATATTAATAAGGGGAGTCATTCACCAAGGAGCTGGAACAGCTATGCACACAGATGCACCTGGGGCATCTGGGGCTGCTAGCTTCAGAAAAAAACAGCCTGGGCCACGTAAGAGCCTTAAAAGAATAACCTAATGGTGTACCCTCACAGACCTAGAAAAACAGCACACCCCAACACAGTGCGTGATAGGAAACAATAAACAGGGATGAAAGCTATGAACATGGAGACTAAACCAATGCACAGATCAATCAAGGAGTGGCTTAGAAAAATTAAAATGGGCAGTTCACTTAGGCAAACTAACCAAAAGAAAGAGATGGCCCACACTAATACAATTAGAGATTTTAAAGATGTTATAACAGATTACAATGAAGTTCTGAGGATAATTAGAGAATATTTGAAAAAGTATATTACAGAAAATTGGAAAAATGGATAATATTCTAAATGATCTACTAAAATTAAGCCAAGAGGACATACACAACTTAAAACAGATTAATAACAAGCAAAAAGACTGAAAGAGGATGGAGGGAAGCAGGAATGGTGGTGAACCTCTAGTCCCAACACTCGAGTGGCAGACAGATCACAAGGAGCTAACGGTCTAAACAGTGAGTTCTGGGCCAGTCAGGGCTATGTAGTGAAACCTGCCTAAAAAATAAATAAAATAAAATAAACCAACTGCCAAAACAAATAAAAAAATCCAAAAGTAAATTAAATTCTTACAGAGCAAATTTAAGAATATGTTTAGAAGACTGTGTATCATGACCAAGCTGGCTTCATTCCAGGGGTTCAGGATAGCTCAACATATGCACATCAATAAACAGCACGTAAACAGACTTGAGAACAAAAATATCGATCATCTCAAAGTTCAGCTCTCATGATAAAAGTCTGAGCACATCAGCCTGATACAACAGACCCATGCAGGCTCCCACTATACACCAAATGGCAAAAAGGTATTTCCTTTAAAACCAGGACTGAGACAAGGGTGTTCACTTCCTCCACTGTTACTTAATTTAGGACTCAAGTTTCTAGAGAAATAAGACAAAAGAATGTAATAAATGAGGCATAAACGGAAAAGGAGGGTATCAAATTATTACTATTTGCAGATAATTCTTAGTCCTATTAAATATTTTCAGCAAAGTAGCAGCATACAAAACCAATATCCCTATAGTGGTATATTACTTGTGTTTTAATAAGTAAGGATGGCCTGAAGATCAGTGCAAAGCAGCCACACCAGTCAGCCATACAGGCCAGGGAGTGGTGGCACACCTTTAATCCCAGCACTAGAGAGGAGTATAAAACAGGAGGAGACAGGTCTCACACTCAGTCTGATTCTGAGGATTCGTGGAGGCAGGATCTCCTTTCAGTCTGAGGATTTCATAGAGGTGAAAGCTCTCTAGTGGCTTGGCTGCTTTGATTTTCTGATCTTCAGGTTGAACCCCAATATCTGTCTCTGGGTTTGCATTATTCGTGCTATACACCGCCAAATCAGTAGCCTTTCTATATAGCAGTAGCAATTTACTGAGAAATAATTCAAGGAAGAAAATTCCATGCAGAATAACTTCACAAAAAATAACATATCCAGAAATAAACCTAGCCAGGGAACTAAAATCTTCTAGAATGAAGACCTGAAGATACCAAGAAGGAAACTGGAGGACACACTGAAAGACAGAAAGGCCTCCAAGCTCACGGCTGGTGTAATTAATGGTGTGAAAATGGTCACGTGACTGAAGGCGACCTGCAGATTCAACACTACCTCTATGAAAATCCAATGACATTCTTTACAGAACTAGAAAAGCCACCCTAAAGTTCTCATTAAAACACACAAGCAGGGCTGTGACATGGCCTCTGGGGTAAACACTTGCAGTGCAGGTCGCCTGAGAAAGTGAGCTCCAGACCTTGGACAGAAAACAACTGACTGCAAAGGTTCTCCTGTCTAATGCATGTTGGCAAGAGCACCCCACACACAAATAATAATCTACTTCTAAAAAGAAACAGAAAAGATCCTGAATGTGTCAAAACAATCTAAGCAGAAAAGAGCACTGCTGAAGATGGCAGACCTCGAACTATACCACAGAGCCATAACAAAACAGCACGCACCGGGACAAAACCAGACATGTAGGCTAGTGCAATAAAAAAGGAGAACTCAAATATGCCTACAAAACTACAGCCACCACCTTTGACAGTGGAGAGATGGCTGAGCAGTTAAGAGCACTGGCTGCCCTTCCAGAGAAGCAGAATGACTACGTATGGAAAGCAAGAGGTCAGAGACAGGGAGGAAGGGAAGGCAGTGTAGGTAAGAGCAAAATTACAAATAAAACACATGACTTTTCCAAAAAAATTAAAGTAACATACATTTAAAAATCTTTCTTTCTGGGCTAGTGAGATGGCTTAGCAAAAAAAGGCACTTACTACCAAGTCTAACAACCTAGGTTCAATGCGCTGACCCCCATGTTGGAAGGAGAGAACCAACTCAAAGTTGTCCTCTGGCCTTCACATGCATACAATAGTATACACAAGCATCCCTGCTCCTCACACAAAATAAATAATCATAAGAAAAAGATTTAAATACTTTTCCTTATTTTTTTAAAGACAGTCTCACCCTTTAACCAATGCTAAACACTTTGAATTTCCTGTGATCTTACCTTAGCCTCCCTGGTGCTACAGTTACAGGCACAAGCCCTCACATGCATCACCCGCCCGACTTCACTTCTTTTTTTCCTTTGTCTTTTTTTTTTGGGGGGGGGGGTCAAGACAGAGTTTCCCTGTGTAGCACTAGCTGTCCTGGAACTCACTCTGTAGACCAGGCTGGCCTTGAGCTCAGAGATCCACGCCTTTGCCTCCTAAGAGCTGGTGTTAAAGACACGTGCAACTACCACTCCCCAGCTGTTGTTAACTTAAAGATTTTATTTTGACTGGAGTGACGTAAAAGTACAATCTTGGGTGCTTTGGTCCTGCTTTTTACTTTCTTTAAAGGCTCCTGAAATACTGGCAGATACCATCTTCTTTGGAGAGAGACACTGAGAAGTTTTAATATTCTGCTAGCTCTTTTGGGCCCTGACTGCTAAGGCACAGTATCTTTCAGTCCAGGAATATCCCTTCCCAAACCGTTCTTGCTCTCCAATAACCAAGTTGAGACCACTCAGATTGAGGCTTGTGCTTCCTCTCTCCAATTCTCCTTGGTCTATAAGAATGCCCCTTTGGAGCACACGCCCTTTTTAATTCCAGCACTGAAGAGGCAGAGGCAGGCATATCTACAGAGCAAGTTCCAGGACAGCCAGGGCAACAAAGAGAAACCCTGTGCGGGGAGGCGAGGGGACAAACCTAGGAAACAAAGAGCCCTTCAGTCATTAGCAGGTACCCTCTACCATCAGTCAGAACCGCTTGTGTCATAGGAAAACACTGTAATTCCCACCACTGATTTGGACTACATAATCCTTTCACTCTTCAGCCAAAATACCAGGAGCTACTTCTGTGGTCATGAGCTTCTTATAGAAAGAGGAGGCTTGCATTCATCGTCCACTACAATGAGTTTCTTTCTTTTTTTTTTTTAAACATTGCTAAATACTCTTTATTTGATATATTATACATAGACCACAGTAAGTGTCTTTCAATGGTAAAAGGCAGCATCCTTTGACTTAGGGAATTCTAATAAAATAACACCACTGAGTCAAGAATAGACAATTGCCCCCTGATCTTTAGCCATTGCCTGTAACAGCAGGGAGTACAAACTTTACCACAGGCGAGTCTTCTCGTTTCTGAGATGGTGACAGAATTCCCCAGTGTTTAAACATATTCATATGTCCAATTATATAAATTTACTTATAAGACCATTTAGTAGGTTTGAGGTGCCCTTAAATGTGTTATGTAGCCTAGCTCGCTCTCCTCCATTTGCCTCTTTTTTAAAGTTATTATTACTGTGTAGTGTGTATGAGTGCATGCGCAACAGCAAGCAGTCAGAGGACAACTCTTGGCAGTCAATCTCTCTCCACCGTAGTGGAGGAACCTAACTCAAACTGTCAGCTAAGTCCTTACCCACTGTAGTGGAGGAACCTAACTCAAACTGTCAGCTAAGTCCTTACCCATTGAATTATCTTGCCTCTTGAGTGCTGGCGTTATAGAGATAACACACACGGCCTTAAGATACACACTTTAATCCCAGCACTCAGGGGGCAGAGGCAGGCATGGATCTCTGTGAGTTCGAGGCCAGCCTGATCTATGAAGCAAGTTCCAGGATAGCCAGGACTGTTAGACAGAGAGACCCTGTCTCGGAGGACCAAAACAGACAGACAGATAGTTTAAAGACCTTGATGTATAAAGTAGGAATGGAGACTGGCGATAATAACTGACAGAACACCACAAAGAAGGCACAGATTTGGTTTTCTCTTTGTGTTGTTCTAAACAAAATGGGTTTAAAAACTATTCAAGAGGGGTTGGAGAGATGGCTTAGCAGTTAAGAGCACTGGCTGCACCGGGCGGTGGTGGCGCACGCCTTTAATCCCAGCACTCGGGAGGCAGAGGCAGGCGGATCTCTGTGAGTTCGAGACCAGTCTGGTCTACAAGAGCTAGTTCCAGGACAGGCTCCAAAACCACAGAGAAACCCTGTCTCGGAAAAAAAAAAAAAAAAAGAGCACTGGCTGCTATTCCAGAAGCCCCAGGCTTGATTCCCAGCTCCCACATTGGTTCACAACCATCTGCAACTCAACTTCAGTTCCAGAGGATTGACTCCACGGTCTCTGAGGGAACTGTATGGATATGGTATACAGACATACAATCAGGCCAAACACTTCCCATCCGCACAAAATTAAAATCAAATCTAAAACAAGTCAATAACATACCAGAATGTATGAAGTAACCAATAAAAATAAGTTATGATAAAATTATGCAGCGATGCAAATATTTCAGACAATAAGTTGCCTATATTATCACTTAATTGTCATAGACAGATTTAGCCTTCCAGAATGCAGTTTTTGTTGTTACTGTTGTTATTATTGGGGGGGGGGTAAGGGCAGGATGGGAGTTGAGGTCTCCTGTAGCCTAGGATGACCTTCAACTTCTGATCTTCCTATCTCCACTGCCCCAGAATTAGCATTTCTTTTCTTTTCTTTTCTTTTCTTTTCTTTTTTTTTTTTTTTTGTTTTTTGAGACAGGGTTTCTCTGTGGTTTTGGAGCCTGTCCTGGAACTAGCTCTTGTAGACCAGGCTGCAGAATTAGCATTTCTGTCTCAAGCAGTCACACTCAGTTTATGTAGTGACAGGGATCCAAAGTCCAGGGTTTTATAAATCACAGACAGCACTGTACCAGGTAGAGAACCCCAGCCTTCTCAATCTCTTTAAATTTGAACAGCAGAGAACAAATTCCAGAGAATCTACTTTCAATAAATATGGATAAAGAAGAGAATATTGAATGAATAGTAGAAAATAAATCAAAATACTTTTTTTTCTTTTTTTTATTAATTTATTTGTTATGTATACAATAGTCTATCTGTATGTATGCCTGCAGGCCAGAAGAGGGCACCTGACCCCATTACAGATGGTTGTGAGCCACCATGTGGTTGCTGGGAATTGAACTCAGGACCTTTGGAAGAGCAGGCAATGCTCTTAACCACTGAGCCATCTCTCCAGCCCCCTCAAAATACTTTTTAAAGCCCCCTTGAGACTAGGTCTTGTCCTATAGCCCAGGCTGGCTGGGAACTTGGCAATCCTGTCTCAGCCTCCTCGGTGCTGGGATTATAAGCATGTACCACCATGAGCAGTTACTTTACATGACTTTACTCAAAACTAATACTATGAGAGATACTTGAAGTAATGATCATAAAAACAAAAAAAAGTGACCAGATTACTTAATAATCATGCTAATTACCTGTATGCTACCATCTCACACTCTGGAGTTGGCCATTTCAAAATAGCTGAATGCTAGAAGACATAAAACATAGGATATATTACAATACTTATTTTTTAACAATATTACTTCATAATGAAGCTTTCATATTTAACTATAACAATTTAACTTATATCATTCCAGAAAATATCAAATGACCCTACCAAATCATCAAGAAGAGAATTCCTCTGGCTACGGCTCAAGGTCCATGCTTGTTCACCTCTGGATATTAAGTGGGCGATAATCCCAGCTGCAAAGTAACTGACTTCTACTTCCACACTGTGCAGGAGACTGCTGATATGGTCTATGAAGTCCTTCCACATTAGTTCAGAATGGAGCTCTTGTACTTCAGCTATATTGTTCTGGGAGGAAAAGAAGGTATAAAAGTTAGTCTTAGCTGGACGGTGGTGGCGCACGCCTTTAGTCCCAGCACTCGGGAGGCAGAGGCAGGCGGATCTCGGTGAGTTTGAGGCCAGCCTGGTCTACATGAGCTAGTTCCAGGATAGGCTCCAAAGCTACAGAGAAACCAACTGGAAAAACAAAACCAAAACAAAAAAGTTAGTCTTATGCAAATTACATGGTTAAGAGGACTGTTTTCAGACACTAGACAAGCACTCCTGGTGATCTCTGACAAAGTATGCAAGCTGGTCGCTTTGCAGACTGAAGTAGAGGTAAGGGGAATAGCAGTAGTTTGGGTAATAAATGTCCCCTATACTCTTAGATACTTGAACTGATGATGCTGTTGGGAGGTTTAGGAAGTGTGGCTTGTTGTAGGAGTTTATCACTAGGGGCTTACTTCAAGGTTTCAAAGTCTTGCACCATTCCTGGTGCCCCTTCTGCATCATGCTTGTAATTCATGATATGAGCTGCCATCCTGATACTGGCTGTCATCATAAGAGTCTTTCTCCAAAAAGTTTTTTTGACTAAGTTCAACACTAGCCTAGTGCAGAACCCAGAGGTCAGGGGAAGGCTTGTGATCCCCTGGCTGGAGCTGCAGGTGACTGTGATTGTCCACAGGGGTGTAGGGACTTGACCTGGGTCTTCTGGAAGAGCAACCAACACTTTCTTTTTCCTTTTTTCAAGACAGGGTCTCACTCTGTGGACAAGGCTATCATCAATCTCACAGAGATCCACCTGTCTCTGTCTCCTGAGTACGGAATTGAGGGGGTGCACCACTACACCAGGCTTGTTTTATCTTTTTAATTTAATAATTATATCTATTTTCCATTTTCTCTAGATGTTCAAAAACAACACAACATCATCTTTCTATATTTCTTCTGGTTTTTTCTTAGATAGGTCTCACTATGTAGGTTAGCTCTGAATTTACAGATTCACCTGCACTACCACATCAGCTTCCTTCTTTCTTCTTGAGACAAGGTATCATGAAACCCTGGCTATGCAGAAGATGCTTTGAACTTCTGATTCTCCTATTCTTATCCTTCACCTCCCAAGTGGTAAGATTACAGGTGTATGTAATCTCATTCTTATGCTTTATACTCATGGTTTATACTTTCTTTAAACACGCAAATTTATGTGATGTAGAGGATGAAAACCAAGTTTCATGCATGCTAGGCATACACTCTTCTAACTGACCTATATCCCCATTTATTTATCGTGTGTGTGTGTGTGTGTGTGTGTGTGTGTGTGTGTATCTCACATGTATAAGTCAGAAGACAACTTGGAGGTGAGTTCGTCTATCATGTGGTTTGAGGATCAAGCTCCTATCATCAGGCTCCTGTAGCACAAATAATAAAAACCCAGTGACAGATATTGGGGTTCAAGCTAAAATCAGAAAAGCAAAGTGGCCAGCACTGGCTCTTACCTCCACTGAAATGGGCAACCTACCTCCACAAATACTCAGACTGAGACTGAGCCCGAGACCTGTCTCCACCCATTTTATATTCCTCTCTAGTGCTAGGATTAAAGGTGTGCACCACCACCGCCCAGCCTCTATGGTTAACTAGTGTACTAGTGTGGCTGCTGGGATTAAAGGTGTGTGTCACTACTGCCTGGCCTATACAGCTTACTAGTGTGGCTACTTTGCCCTCTGACCTTCAAGTAAGCTTTATTTATTAAAACACAAATAATATATCACTGTAGGTTCTGCGAGGAGTATCCTAACCAACTTGGGCCTTGAGGGCCCAAGCAGCAACTTTCAATGTATACACTCAGACAGAAAATAATTATGCTTTTGAATTAATCAGGAATGATGTATAACTTACCAAAAGACCTAGAACTTTTTGTTGAATGGATGACTCAGTTGGGAAAGACTACAAAAGAAAGAGAATGTGTAACTATCTAAAGAAACAAATATAACAAATAAGTGCTCAAAGAAATCACCCACATCAGCGGCTAAGTATATTCTCATTCTAACCTCTAGAACTCTCATGAAGAGCTCTAACCCTTGATTTTCAATGAAGTGTCTGCATGTTGTTGGGGATTCATCTGTGAGGTTCCAGAGTGCACTCAAAGTAAATTTCAATGTAGTATCCACTGAATTTTGATTAGTTTTCTGCTTCACTATTTGAAGAAGTTGCTAAGGAAGAAAAAGAGAATTTTTCATTATTGAGTTGTCATAATCTGAGATTACCAATAAGCACAAATCCATGAGGAATATTCTCATAGTTTAAAGCATTCCCTGTAGGGGCTGGAGAGATGGCTCAGTGGTTAAGAGCATTGCCTGCTCTTCCAAAGGTCCTGAGTTCAATTCCCAGCAACCACATGGTGGCTCACAACCATCTGTAATGAGGTCTGGTGCCCTCTTCTGGCCTGCAGGCATATACACAGACAGAATATTGTATACATAATAAATAAATAAATATTTCAAAAAATAAATAAATAAATAAAGCATTCCCTGTAAAGGTTAAAACTTTGTCTATCTGTCCATCCATCCATCCATCTATCTAGTAGGGGGCGCATGTCCAAGTCACAGCATGTTTGTAGAGGTCTGTGAGTTCCACCCTGTGGGTCCTGGGGATTGAAACAGGGTTGGCAGAAAGCATCTTCTTGGTGAGCCATCTTGCTAGCCCTAGTATGTTTTTGTTTTGTTTCTTCAGATAGTTTTGCTATACAACCCAGGGCTAGTCAACTTGACACAAGCTACAGTCACTTTGGAAGAGGGACTCTCTTTCTTTTTTAAAATCATCTATTTAAATTTATTTTATGTGTTCTGCTGTGAAGGTGTTAGATCCCCTGCAACTGGAGTTACAGACAGTTCCATGTGTCGTTGGGAATTGAACCCAGGTCCTCTAGAAGACTAGCCAGTGCTCTTAACCACTGAGTCATCTCTCCAGCCCCTCAAAGAGGACTCTCAATGAGAAAATAACTCCGTAAGATTGTAGGCCAATTCTGTAGTGTACTTCCTTGATTAGTGCTTGCTATAGAAGGGCCCAGCCCATTGTGGATGGTGCCTTTTCTGAATAGGTAGTCCTAAGGACGTGTAAGAAAGCAGACAGGGCAAGCATTCCTCCATGGCCTCTGCATCAGTCTCTGTCTTTCCTAGATGACAAACTAAGATGAAATAAACTCTTTCTTCTACATCTGATTTTGACCCTGGTGTTTTATCACAACAACAGAAACCCTAAGACAGCAGCCAAAACTAGTCTCTAAGTCAAGATTCTCCTTTCTCAGTCAACAATTCCTTAGTCTGGACCTTCATTTTTCCTTCTTATCCTTCCCTTATTTCTATTTGTTTTTCTGTAAACAATAGTTTCGCTAGTACTGTGTAGAACTGCAAACTGGACTATACGAAAAGTACTTATTTGTGTTCTCTCTACCCTCTGTTTCTCTCTTGGTCCCTTTCTCTGTGAGCAGGGTGGATCTCATGTCACCTTAAATTCACTATATACCAAGAATGATATCGGACTCCTGTCCTCCAGCATCCACCTCCCAAGTGCTGCAATTGCAGGCATGTACTACCACACGGGGTTATGTGGTGCTGAGGATGAAGTGTGTTCATTTCACACACGGAGCTATATCCTCAGACCTCTGTTTGCTTGCCTGTTTGCTTTCTTTCCTTCCGTCTTTCATGTGTGTGCAATATCTTCTTTTTTATTTTAAACTCATTTTGATTTTGTGTCGTGTGTGTGACAATGAAATGCATGAAGGACTGAACTTCTGTAGTCAGAAGAGAGCTTGCAGAAGTTGGTTCTCTTCTTCCACCATTAGATCCCAGGGATTGAACTCAAGTCACCAGATTTGGTGGCAGTTGCCTTACTGCTGAGCCATCTCACTGGTCGTGAACCAACTCTCTTAACTGGTCATAGAATACCATTCTAATAAAGCCTGGGACTTAAGAAAATGAAGAGGGGTTGAAGGGAGGCAAAACTAGCATTTTTTAACTTATAGTTAATAATACTTATAGTATCATTTCCCAGGGACACAAACTAAATTTAAAATATTAAGTAATTTGGTCATAATCAACTTGATAAAAGAGTTAGAAGGCCTAATTCTAACAAATTTCAAGTTTTTTTTTTTTTTTAAGAAAAAAAGGAAAAGGCTGGGCGTGGTAGCTCACACCTGTAACACCCGACTTAGGAGACTATGGCAGGAGGACTGTCACAGCTTCAAGTCCCTCTTGGGCTACACACAATAGTAAGAGAATTGAAGTTAACATTGGATATTAGGATGACAATAGCTTTGACATGTCTTCTCGTAAGCTACGTCTACTGTAACTAGCCTGGTCTACAGAGTGGGTTCTAGGACAGCCAGGACCGTTACACAGAGAAACCCTGTCTCAAAGCCCACAACCCCCAAAAATCAAAACAAAACAAAACAAAAAAAATTGAATACAATCATTTAGAAAAAGTGAATTTATTAAAAATAAAGAGAGAAGCCAGGACAGGGGTGGTTCTGTAGCAGAAAGCCGACTTAGTATGTGTGCAGCCCTGGCTTAGCTCCCCAGAAACACAAACACCTATACCCATATAAACCCACAAAAGACATATCACATTACTTGTCAGGAGGAAAAAAGAAAAGAGAAGAATACTAGTAGGGACTGGGAAAAAAGAAAAGAGAAGAATACTAATAGGGACTGGGAAGATGACTCAGAGATTACGAGCACTGGCTAATCTTCAAGAGGATCTGGGCTTAATTATCAGCACCCACATGGCAGCTCACAACTGTAATTCTAGTTCCATGGGATCCAATTTACTCCTCTGGCATCCACAAGCACTGGGTCAACTCCACACAGTGCACAGACATACATGGAAACAAAGCACCCATACACGGAAAATAAATACATTTTTAAAAGTTAAAAAACAACAAGAAACCAACCAAACAAACAAACCAAACCAGTATGTAGTGTTCTAAAAAGAGGGAAATAAACTCACCCGGACAATGAAGAGCTCAGCACCAAGCTGTGCGGTTTGTTCTGTAGAGAGCTGGAAGCAAATATGAGACAAAGTAAATGTCCAAGTACTCATGGGTGTAAGTTTACTATAATTCACCACAACAGCCTCCATAGCTAGACAACCAGCTCATTAGCCTCCAATTCTGCAACACTTAACACAAATAAGCAGGCTAGCAAAGAGGTGTACTAACTTTTCTGGCACACAAATGGAAGGGGGCAGTATTAACTGTAACGAGAAACAATTGCCTTTAGGAAGTCATTCAGAAACGTTACCTTAGCAGCCAGGATGGAAATGATGGCAACTGCCATTCTTTGCATGTTTTGATCTTCATGGTTGCAAAGCCACTGCATGACAAGCTTGGCTGCTTCAAACCTGAAAACACAAGAGGGTTTCCTCAATACTGGAGATCCAGGCATAATTTTAGGGAGTCAGGTGAGGGCTGATGCTACAACTTAGTGTGTGGGAAGAGAAGGGAAGCTTTCTCTTAATGAGAGAGAATAACAAATTACCATTAGTGTCTTTTTGGTTTCTTTCCTATGCTGGGGATGGACCCAGGGCCTTGTCTAGACAGAAGCGCTACCAAAGATATAGCCCCAGTCCTTTCTCTTATTTTATTTACTGTAGTGTTTATTATTTTTATCTTCCTTTTTGGTAGTGTGAGTGTTTGTCTATGATGTGCATGAGTGTGCATGCATGCTATGATATCCATGTGGCTGTCAGAGGACAACATTTGAGACTCAGTTCTTTTCTTCCACTGTGGGTTCTAGAGTTTGAACTCAGATGGTCAGGCTTTTGTGGAAAGTGCTTTTACCAGCTGAGCCACCTTGCCAGCCCTTGTTTATGTCTTTTTGAGATAGGGTCTCGTGTAGCTCAGGCTGTCCTCAAACTCTCTGTGTAGCCAAAGATGACCTTGAACTGCTGATCTTCCTGCCTCCACCTTCTGGGATTACTGGCACGTGCCACCATACCTGGCTCTTTGTTTTTATTCTGAGACAGTCTTAATAAGGTGCCAGGTAGGCTTTGAACTTTTGATTCTCCTACTGGGATTATAGGCCTGCACCACTGTGCTCATCAAAATGATAGCAATGGTGGAGAAGCAGGAGCATAGGGGCTGAGGAGAAAGCTCAGCTGGTAAAGTGCTCGCTGTGCAAGCATGCGGACCTGAGTTGAATCCCCAGCAACCATGTCAAAGAGCTCGGCATGGCAACGCATACCTGTAATCTTAACTCTGGGGAGGCAGAGACAGGAGGATCCCTGGGACTTGATGGCCAGAAGTCTAGCCCACTCCGTGAACTCCAGGTTCAGTGAGAGACCCTGTCTCAAAAAAATAAGGTAAGGAGCAATTGAGGAAGACACCCAACGTCAACCTCTGTTTTTCACACTGATACATTAGCACATGGTGCACACACATATCAATAACAATACATACACACACACACAAATACACACAAAGACACAATAATGTAGAAATACAGTCAAAATTGGCATTTTATCTTCTACAATAAAACATTTTAGTATATCAACATCACAGCTTTAAGCATATTCTTTGATAAAAACGTTTAAAAGTTATTTATACGTGAGTGTGTACACACACACATCTTCTCACAAAGCATGCACACAGAGGTCAGAGGACAACTTGAGGGAGTCATATTTCTACCATGTGGTCCTGGGGACTGAACTCCCGTTGTCAAGCTATTACTTGCCTGTTAAATGGGACATCTTGAAGAATTCGATCACTACAAAGTGAGAGGAGGCAATTCTTCTGTAACTAAAGAATAAAAAGGAGAAAACAAAACAAAGTCGAAAAGAACATCATTCTGTTACCTGTTAACCAAAGACAAGTTTTTTTAAAAAAAATTTAAAAACTATTGTTTAAATGTGTGTAAGGAGAGTGTGGGCATGCTGAGTGCTGGAGATGGAACCCAGGGTTCATGAAAAAGCTCCAGTTTACAACTATACAACTAAGCTATACAACTATACAACTAAGCTCCAGTTACTGTTTTTAAATCTTGAAAAACACAATTTTTTTTCTTGGTTTGAGACAGATCTCTCAATTATATATCTCTGGCTGTCCAGAAACTAACTATGTAGACCAGGCTGGCCTCAAACTCACAGACCTCACCTGCTTCTATCTCCTGAGGGCTGGGATTAAAGTCATGTGCCACCATGCCAGGCTCAAAATTATATTCTTTAAACTAATTCTTTATAAATGCTATCAAAATAAATTGATTGCTTTATGTAAACTTTGTTTTTTAATTATATATTTATTATTTATATAGTGTTCTGCCTGCATGAATGCTTGCACGCCAGAAGAGGGCACCAGATCTCATTATTGATGGTTGTGAGCCACCATGTGGTTGCTCGGAATTGAACTCAGAATCTCTGGAAGAGCAGCCAGTGCTCTTAACCTCTAAGCCATCTCTCCAGCCTAAGAAAATTTTGTATTTTTAAACATGGGAATTCAATTCAGGTTTTATATCAGCACATTAAATTATGATCTTTGAAATGTATTTTGATTTTGCAAGTGTTCTGTCTGAGTATGTGTGTGCCCAGCATGTGTACCTACTGTCCGCAGAGGCCAGAGGATAGCAGTGGATCACAAGGAGGTTGTCAGCCTCTATGCCAATACTGGGGACCAAACCTGGGTCCTCTGTAAGAGTGAGTCTTGGCCGCTAAGTCAACTCTCCACCCCCACCCTGTTTTTGTTGTTTGTTTTGAGACATGGTCTCATGCAGCCTAAACTGGCCTCTAACTTACTATGTAGCTGAGGATGACTTTGAACTTTTAACCTTCCTGCTTTCACATCTGAAGTGCTGGGGTTACAGGCAAGCAAGTGTATACCCTACTCCAATAGACGGAATCCTGGACTTTGTATATTCAAGGCAAACAATCTCTCAACTGAGCTATATTCTTAGGTCCTGGTATTTACATCTCTCAGGATGCTTTCCTAGTTTTCAACTGCCCTAACTGCCTCTTCTTGAGCTCCCAGCAGTGCAGTACTACTTAGCTGAAATGTCTGGAAGAACAAACACCGGATTTCAGAGCTTTTAATGTACGGCAAGATTTCAAAGAGCAGGTTCTGTTGGAGCCATTATATTGAAAAATGGTTAGGAAAAACAGTCGACCTATTATGGAAATAGGTAGGCCACACTAGGCAAGCAGCTTGTGACCAGAGTGTAGGAAGGACAAGCATTTAGATTTGGAAACATCTCCAGGCAGTGATGGCACACACCTTTAATCCCAGCACTTGGGAGGCAGAGGCAGGTGGATCTGTGTGAGTCTGAGAACAGCCTGGTCTACGAAGAGAGTTCCAGCTAGCTAGGACTACACAGAGAAACCCTGTCTTGAAAAAACAAAAACAAAACAAAAACAATCTGAACAAAAAATAAATAAATAAATAATTGGGAACATTACCAATTGAGCAGACTAAATATAAAAATCCAAAATCTGAAATGCCCTAAAATAGGAAGCTCTCTGAGTAACACATAGGCATCAAGCATCGAAGGTTTTTTTCCCCCAGTCTATGATTTTGAATTTTGTTTTTTTTAAATATTTATTTATTTATTTATTTATTATATATACAATATTCTGTCTGTGTGTATGTCTGCAGGCCAGAAGAGGGCACCAGACCTCATTACAGATGGTTGTGAGCCACCATGTGGTTGCTGGGAATTGAACTCAGGATCTTTGGAAGAGCAGGCAATGCTCTTAACCACTGGGCCATCTCTCCAGCCCTGATTTTGAATTTTGACATTAGGGTTCTTAAGCTGACTTGTTTCTTAGTATTCACTGTGTTGTGCTACATTATGTGTTTTTCTATCTGAATTGCAGACCTTGTCATAGGGGCACATATCCTAAACTGAATAAAGAGACACTAAGCTTAACTGAACTGATGGCTTAAACTGGTAACAGAGAAAAGCATCCCTGCATCTGACTGATGGTTTATTCCTTCTGCAAAACACCATAAGCAAACAGAGAAGATGACATTTGTTACAATCTCCAAGTTCCGACCATCTGAAATTTTGACTTTTGTGGCTCTAGCCTCAAATATGCAAATATTTAAGAATTTTGTATACTGCCATTCACCAAATTTGGCTATCGCTGGCCTAATCCTACACTGTCCTTCCTACATTCTGGTCACAACAACTCGCCCTCTGGAATGGCATGCACATTCCATACAGGTCCCACTGCTTTTCTTACCCGTTTTCCAAGATGTGACTCCATCACTTGTTCTTGGAAGTCTCCCTGTCCCTGTCCATACACCATGTACCTGACAGTACTACTCACTTCCCTCAACAGCCTATGGCATTCAGTTCAAACAGCTGAAAAATAAAATGCTCGTAACAGCATCCAGCAGCTGCAACTTTTCCTTCTGTGAGGGGTTTCCTTATTTTGACAGGAGTCTTGCTAGGTGGAGCAGAATAGCCAGTAATTCCTGGGCTCAAGAGATCTTCTTTCCTGAACCTCTCTAGTAGCTGGGATTACAGGTACATAACAGCATGCTATCTAAATATTAAGTCCTTTTTTCAGATTTATTTATATAATATCTGTGTGCGTGCGTGTGTGCATGCACGTGAGTATACACAGGTACCACATGTGTGCACTGCCTGTACAGATCAGAATAGGGCATCGAATTCCCCCTGAAGCTGGTTTTACAAGTGATTGTTAGCTGCTATGTAGGTGTTGGGAATACATCTAGATTCTCTTAAAGAGCAGAAAGTGCTTTTAACCACTGAACCATCTTTCCAGCCCCATAAATTAAGTAACATTTAAATGTTCTATTTTAAAACAATTTGCAGGGCAGTGGTGGTGCACATGTTTAATCTCAGTACTCAGAGGGCAAAGGCAGGCCAACCTGGTTTACAGAGCTAGCTCCAGGACAGCTAGGGCTATAGAGAGAAACCCTGTCTCAAAAAAACAAAAATAGGCCTGGAGAGATGGCTCAGAAGTTAAGAGCACTGGCTGCCCTTCCAGAGGTCCTGAGTTCAATTTTCAGCAACCACATGGTGGCTCACAACCATCTATAATGGTATCTGGTGCCCTCTTCTGGCCTGCAGGCATACATGCAGGCAGAACACTGTGTACATAAAAAATAAACCTTTAAAAAAAAAAAGAACCAAAAACAAATAAATAAATAACAATTTTATTTGTGGTATGGGTGGTTTGATGTGTATGAATACGTGGGAGCCAGAGGTATACACTGGTACTCTTTCACTATTATTCTTCATCTTATATTTTGAGACAAAGTCTCTTACTGTGGTGGTTAATCTCAACTGTCAATCTGATGTGATTTAGAACCACTTGAGGGATGGGCTCCTGGGCATCTCTTGCAGGGTTGCCTTGATTAGGTTAACTGATGTGAGAAGACTCACCTACTGTAGGTGACATCATTCCCTAAACGAGGACCCTGTACTGTACAAAGGGAAAAGGTGTGCTAAACACTAGAAACCACCACCATCCAATCCTCCTGGTCCAGGATATTCCCCCAACAATGGACTGTAACCTCAAACTATAAGCCAAAGTAAATGCTTCCTTCAGTTGATCTCGGCAGAATATTTTATCACAAACTGGAAAAGTAAATAATATACTTACTGAACCTGGAACTAAAGTTTCACCTAGACTAGTGGCCAAAAAACTCCCAGGATCCACCTGCCTCTGCCCCTACAGTGCTGGAGATCTGAACTCAGGTCTTCCTGACTGTGCAGCAAGTACTTTACTCAATCTCTCAACTCCCTAAATGCTATTAAATAGACAAATATTTATAAAATACATTTATTATAAGGTAGTACCTCTTAATCTTTAATAGATAGACACCACTTGCCTAAGAATTATTTTGGAGGGGATGGATTTGTGACAGGGTCTCCTTTATCCCAGACTGGCTTGAACTCACTACACAGACAAGGATGACCATGGATCCCTGCTCTTCCAGCTTCACCTCCTAAGTGCTTGCATTACAGGAATTTACCACATTGGCCTGCACAAATTTTGTATTTAAAAGCCTTTAACTTTGAATATATTATATTTTAAATAACTTCAAAAACTACAACATGTATTTCTTTTTTGGTTTTGGTTTTTGGAGACAGTGTTTCTCTGTGTAGGCCTGGCTGCCCTGGTACTTTCTTTGTAGATCAGCCCAGCCTCAAACTCAAAGATCTGCCTGCTTCTGGCTCCCAAGTGCTGGGATTAAAGACATCTGCCACTATCACTCGGTCTTATTTCTACCTTTAAATAGCATTGGATAAAAATGATATGGTGCACAGGTCTGCCTGTGATGCCAGCACTGAGAAAAGGCAAAAATTACGCCCCCTTCTCAACAGAAATACTAATAATTAATACACTGGGTAACTTTTGATTTTTTTCAAGTGAGTACATGAAATCATATATGTAGGCTTCTGCAGAGACTGATCTAAGTTGTGGTTTGCAGCTGCAATTGATAGTTTCTTGCTAAAAGACTACACTTCCCAGCTTCCCTTGTGAACTACAGAAATTATTTCTGCCCCATAAGGGGCTGTATCCCATCTTCCTCTGTAGGCATTTCAGCCATCTACGCATTCTAGCATTTGAGTGACAAAAATGCTACTTTGCTGTAAATAAACATGGTACCACCTAGAACCAGACCAAGCCTCTCTTTCCACCTTCATCCCTCTAGAGCTGCTTTTAATAATCTAATACTAACTAAGTATTATACTTTGTTTTGAGACAGGGTTTTTCTACGTGGCTCACACCTTTAATCCCGTGGCTCAGGAGGCAGACCAGGGCGGAGTTCTGTGAGTTCAAGGCCAGCCTGGACAACTGAGCAAATTCCAGGACAAGCATAAAAGCAGGAGAGAACCCGGTTCAAAAACCCCAAACAAACAAACAAACAAACCAGAATGGCCTGCCTCTGTCTCCTAAGTGCTGGCATCACTGGAGTTAAAGATGTGATTAACTACCAGGCAGTGGTGGCACACCTCAGAGTTTGGGAAGCAGAGGCAGGCAGATCTCTGATTCCAAGGCTAGCCTGGTCTGCAGAGTAAGTGGACAGCCAGGGCTACACAGAGGAACCCTGTCTCGAGAAAGAAACAAACAAAACAACAAAAAAGACCACACCCAGCCATTCACTACTGTTTTTAAGAACTCTGTTGTACGACTAACACCAGATTAATACGTTTTCGGTGCTTCTAACTTTTGTCATTATATATGATATTTGTACAGATTTTTTAAACAGATTAGCAGATTTATCAAGATATAATTCACATAGTATACAATCCCTGCTTTGTGTGATTTTTTTTTTTTTTTTTTTTTTTTTGGTTTTTCAAGACAGGGTTTCTCTGTAGCTTTGGAGCCTGTCCTGGAACTAGCTCTTGTAGACCAGGCTGGTCTCGAACTCACAGAGATCCGCCTGCCTCTGCCTCCCGAGTGCTGGGATTAAAGGCGTGCGCCACCACCGCCCGGCTGTGTGATTTTTTTTAGTCTATGCACAGAGTTACAAACCTATTATACCACAATTAGTTTTCACACAGTTCCTTTTTTTCCTAGAGACAGTATCCTGTAATCTAACTGGGCCTCAAACCTGCTGTGTAGGTGAACATGCTCTTGAACTCCTGCTCCTCCCGCTGCCACATCCTGAGTTCTGAATTACAGCGAGACACCACCATACCCAGTTTTATTCAGTGGTGGAGATTAAACCTGGGCTCTGTGTATTCCAGGCAAACATTCTATCAATTGAGCCACATCTCTTGTTCAGTTTTTAGCATGTTTTCCTGTCTCCAAAAGAAATCTAGTTGAGGATGCAATTTAATGACAGAGTACCTAACATTGGCCAGACCCTGGGATTGAGTGTCAACACTGAAAACAAAAACAAAAACCCACATCCATTATCTATTACAATCACTCCATTTTTCCCCACCCTTACTTCCTAACCTTTTATTCTGAATTTATTTTTCTCAGTTTTCATTTGTTAATAACACCAATACATTTTTGGTTCTGTTTTTTTGTTTTCATTTTCTCTATGTATTTTTGGCACTTGCTATATATAGTCCATGCTATCCTTAGACTCAGAGAGATCACCAACCTCTGCCTCCCAAATGCTAGGAGTAAAGGGAGACACACACCATCATGCCTGGAACACCAATAAGTTTTAATTCTGGGCATGGTGATGCATACATAATCTCAGTACTTTGGAAATGGACCTGGAGGTTCAGGAGTTCAAGACAGGTTGGGTTACAAAAGGTCCTGCTTCAAAAGAAGAAAACAACCAACAAGAAGGCTTAGTTATTAAATTGAACTGTTATGGAAATAGGAGGCAGTAAAGAAGAATCTAAGAATATCTGAGTGGGAATTCACAGGTGCTTACCTGCTGGTGATTAGGAAAATGTTCCATGGCCTTGAGCAGCAAATGGGTTACGTCAGCGAGGAGTCGGACAGGCATGCCTAAAGCAAGGTCCTGCTTAGTTAAGTTAAACACACAGGCACTTGCAGCCAGTTGCACAGGCAAATTCATAGGATGGTTTCTCATCCCAGTAACCACAAGCTGAAGCAAAACAAAACAAAACATTTAGTCCTATTAATTCCATAAACACAAACCCTCTTTATATAACAAGGCTGTGTTGCTGTTCTAGATAACTTCAAAGACATGTTCCTAAGTCAGGAGCCTAAACCGATTCCCAAACTTCCTTCCTTGACGTGACGTGCTGTCAGCTGGAATGCAATAAAATCCATCCTCTCAAGGACTATACAACTATTCTTCATTTGTCTTCTTTCCCTTCTAAAATCTTCCCCACTCTTCAATTCAGCTGAAAACTTAGCTTTCTTTAAAATTTATTTTATTTTATTATTTACTTATGTGTGTATGTGCCCTCACAAGAACCAGAGAGGGTGCCGATCCCTCAGAACTGAAGTTACTGGCAGTTGTGAGCTGCCTGACGAGGGTGCTAGAAACCAAGCCCCGGAGGTTCTCCGAACAGCAGCAAGTGCTCTCAATTAACCACTGAGCCCTCTCTCCAGCCCTGGAAAACCTAGCTTTCAACCACACTAAGAACACTCAAGTAACTAGAAAAGAAACTTCAGATTCTGACTGCCCATGTATTCTCTTTACCAGGATATAGAAATCCATATGGCACCTTGCCAAACAATGATCCCAATCCTCTCTAAAGCTGATCCTTCCATGGATATGCCAGATCATTTCTTCGTCTGTCTACTCAAGAAAATAATTACCTCTATGTCATTTTTTAAGTTCTGGATTGGAAAGATAGACATATTTTAAAAGCTATTCATTTAAGGGGTTGGAGCAATGACTCAGTGGTTAAGAGCACAGACTGATCTTCCAGAGGACCCAGGTTCAATTCCCAGCACCCACATGGATCTGACACATTCACGACAATGCACATGAAATAAATTTAAAATAAATGATAAAAAAGCTATTCATTACAAATAAGGGAGCACTGAACTTGCCTGTAACTCCAGTATTAGGAGCTGAGGCAGGAAGACTATAGATTTGAGGCCAAGATGGGTGACATAGCAAGATCCTGTCTAAAAAACTGAAATTCTCCTTTAATCCTATTTCTTTAATCAACTGCCATTTTTCCCCTTTGCATTTTTTTACAGCAAAACTCTTTATGTGAATGGGCTTTAATCTTTAAACAAATGAATATTTCAAATCAGGACTAGAGATCTAGTCCTCTATGCTTAGTTTTATAGAAGTCAAAACTGAAGCTGGGCAATTGTGGTAAACACCTCTAATTCCAGCACTCGAGAGGCAGAGGAAGATGGATTTCTGAGTTTGAGGTCAGCCTAGATTATAGAGTGAGTTCTAGGAGAATTGGGGCTTTAAAAAAAACTAATTTGTTTGTTTATCTATTTATTTTTTTCAGGACAGGGTTTCTCTGTGTAACAGTCCTGGCTTCCCTGGAACTAGCTCTTGTAGACCAGGCTGACCTCGAACTCACAGAGATCTGCCTGCCTCTGCCTCCTGAGTGCTGGGATTTATTGTGTGCCCGGACAGATTTATTGACTGATTGATTGATTTATTATGTATAAAGAGTTCTGCCTGCATGTATGTCTGCACACCAGAAGAAGGTACCAGATCTTATTATAGATGGTTGTGAGCCACCATATGTTGCTGGGAATTGAACTCAGGACCTCTAGAAGAACAGCTAGTGCTCTTAATCACTGGACCATCTCTCCAGTCCCAGCCAGGACTTTTTTATCTGGTGAAAAAAAAAAAAAAGAGAAGCGAAGGAACAAAAACTGGAAGGGGGGGGGGAGAAAGCAAATACCAGCATCTACTGGTTTATACGGAGGAAGTGACAGGCATTAGTGAAAATAATAAAATGTTACAGTTCCTACCCAAGCAGTCCATTAAAAAATTTAAGACACTTAGGGGATCAAATCAGTTCCGGCTCTGACACAGGCCCTCAGTTTCACAATTTATAAAATGGAAAATAAAATCTAACTCTTCAGATTGTTCCCACTAACTGAAAAAGTCTCTTTACATGTGGGTGCTAGGAATCAAATCTGGGTCTTCTGCAAGAGCAACAAGCAGGGCTGGAGAGATGGCTCAGAGGTTAAGAGCACTGGCTGTTTTTTGGCTGCTGTTCCAGAGGTCCTGAATTCAACTCCTAGCAGTCACAAGGTGGCTCACAACCACCAATAATGAGATCTGGTGACCAGGCAGAACACTATACATAATAAATAAACAAGCAAACCTAAAAAAAAAACCAAAACAAACAAACAAACAAAACCCAGAGTACTCTTAACTTCCGGAGCACCTCCCCAGCCCCTAGGCTCTCTTTATAAAGCCTAGGTTGTTCTTAAACTTGCTATTTAGCTCACCTGGGCTTGAACTTGTAACCTTTCTGCCTCAGTCTCCTGAATGCTAAGAGTTATGGCCTAATACCACCATTTCCAAGTGAATCTGTGTGTGTGTGTGTGTGTGTGTGTGTGTGTGTATAAATACTGGGGAATAAATATAAACATTAGGGCTATGCATCCATTTTAGGAAATGCTCTACCACTGAGCTATAGCCTCCATTTCTCACTTTGTATATAACCTATGCTGGCCCTGGGCTCACTCTGTGATACAGGTCAAACATGAACATGTAATCTTCCTGCATCTGCCTCCTGCATAATTGGAATTATAGGCCCAGTTAAATATTCATGTTTGTTTATTTATTTTTAGGACAGAATCTTTAATCCCAGCATTTGGGAAGCAGAGGACAAACTGGTCTACAAAGTGAATTCTAGGACAATCAGAGCTACATGGAGACACAGTCTCAAAAAAGAAAAGAACCCCCCTACTGCCCCCAAAAAGAATTTTCTTTCTTGGATGGGATATATCTTAGTTGTGAAGTACTTGTCTAATATATGGAAAGCTTTGTATTTAATCCCAGTATAACAGAAAAATGAAAAAAAAATCTTTTTCAGCTTTCAAAAACATCTTAGCTGGGCAATGGTGGTGCATGCCTTTAATCCCAGCACTTGGGAGGCAGAGACAGACAGATCTTTGCGAGTTCGAGGCCAGCATGGTCTACAGAGAGAGTTCCAGGACAGACTCCAAAGCTACAGGGAAATCCTGTCTGGAAAAAAAACAAAAAACAAAACAAAACAAAGGAGATAGACAGAGAGAAAGATAAAAATAAAGGTCAAAACACACAAAATCTACTAGTAATTTCAATTTTTTTCACCTGTTTTTGTTCTTACCTTTAAGATTTCTGGCTTTGTTTTTTCCATCACATGAGTCAAACTAAAAAGATGAAACAAAGCTTCCCGGACAAAAAACGCCCTTTCACTGTACCGCCTTAATGCTTCTGCAATCTGAGTCTCGTTGGCTTCTCCAGACACCTTTGAACAGCCAAAAGATGAGTGTTTAGCATTCTTCTCACCCGCTACCTTTCTCCATCTTAACATCAGCTGGAGAGATGGCGCTCAGCATAACTAAGGCTTGAAACACATGAGAACGCTTCCTAACCCACCACAGCCATCATCTCCAGAGACACACTGGACTAGAGCCCAACACAAGCCTGTAGGTATTTCCTGCCCAACACCTAAAATAAATCTCAAGACATTTCACGCTCCATCAGGCCTTGCTGTCTCACTGAGGCTTTTAAGATGCCTCTTATGGAAAACTCATCCCTTAAAACATCTATCTATTGGGATTACTGGCCTTTCTCCATGATGCTTCAGTCACGCTCTATCTCAGCAAAAGGTCATCACATACAATGTCAACTTAAAACTTTCTCTCTTTGCTTAACTAATTTGTACTAACCCTTCCTAAGTCAATCCAATCTTAGAGAAAGCCTTGCTGACACACCAATCTCAAACCAGGTTACCTCCAAATTTCGTTTTCCTAGTTATGATTCTCCCACTTTACTGACCCATGTACCACTCAACATATGTCAACAGTGACTAGCATTATGCATGGCTCAGAAGGAACACTTATTATGTATGCATCAAATAAACCTTTAATTTCCCCCAGATCGATCAAGCGCCATAAGAGGGTTTATTCAAAATGGAATCTAACTTAATTTATACAGGTAAATACACTTATGTTACACTGTGGTTCTGGGAGCACTGCGCAAACACACAGGTAAATACACTTATGTTACACTGTGGTTCAGGGAGCACTGCGCAAACACACAGGTAAATACACATGTTACATTGTGGTTCAGGGAGCACTGCGCAAACACACAGGTAAATACACTTATGTTACACTGTGGTTCAGGGAGCACCATGCAAACAAATACAGATAATAAAAAGTAACTTTATAGTCAACCTGGTAAGAGAAAAAGAAATGATTAAGATACAGGACTGGTGAGATAACTCAGTAAGTACCAAGCCAGCATGAGGTACACCAAGACTCTATCCCAACTCCTAACCCTTCAAAAAGAACAGAAAGAAATATGGACTATGAACATGTGTAGCCAAAAAATAAAACAATTCTGAAATTCTACTCTGAGGAGAACTGTAAAAGTCAAAAGGACTGTTTTTTGTTTGTTTTGTTTTGTTTCTGACAGTCTCACTATGTATCACTGGCTGATCAAGAGCTCTTTGTGTAGACAGGCTAGCTGTAAACACAGTGATCCACCTGCCTCTGCCTTCCAAGTGCCGGAATTAAAAGTGTACACCACCATGCTGGGCCAGGAGACACATTTAAAGGAAAAGAAAAGGAAGGAAGGGCCTATGAGGCAGATCATTGGGAAAGGGATCTGCCATCAAGCATGAAAACCTGAATTTAGTTCCTGTGACCCACATAGAAGCAAATCCTGCAAGTTGGCCTGTGACCACCAAACATACTACGGCACATATATATGAATGTATTCATATTTATAATAGGAAAAAAAAGGGAAGAAAATAGAGGATTGCTGGGCGTGGTACATACCTTTAATCCCAATAATTAGGAGGCAGAGGCAGGAGATCTCTGAGTTCAAGGCTAGCCTGGTCTACAGAGTGAGTTCCAGGTGAATCAGGAGCTATAATGATACCCTGTCTCAAAAACAAGACGGGTGAGGGAAGATGGGCACAAGATTGCATGCCTTTAAGTCCAGAACATGGGAGGCAGATGAATCTCTGATTTTGAGGCCAGTCAAGGCTACATAGTGAGATACTGTCTCAAAAGAAAAAAAAAAAGGTGGGGGGTCAGAGCTGGAGAGATAGCACTTATTTTTATAGAGTGCCTGGGTTTGATTCCCAGCACCACACATAAAACTTAAAAATCTAAAAAAAAAAAAAAAAAAAAAAAAAAGTGAAAGGGAAGAGAAGAAGGCACCTACACACTAAGAGATGCTGCAGACACTCCAGGCATGGAGAAGGCACCTATACACTAAGGGATGCTGCAGACACTCCAGGCATGGAGAAGGCACCTATACACTAAGGGATGCTGCAGACACTTCAGGCACGGGGTGCTGCCTCAGTGATTAATAGAGCATACTGGGCTGGGCAGTGGTGGTGCACAACTTTAATCTCGGAACTCAGGAGGCAGAGGCGGGTGGATCTCTGTGAGTTCAAGGCCAGTCTGGTCTACAGTGTGAGTTCCAGGACAGCTAAGGCAACTACTCAGAAAACCCTGTCTCAAACAAAAAGAGAGAGAAAGGAGAAAAAGAACATATTGCTCTTGCAGAGGACTGGAATTTTGATTCTCATCACCCACACTGAGCAGTTCACAAGTATCTGTATCCCCAGCTCCTTTAGCTGCCAGTTTCTCTCTCCCTCCCTCTCTCTCTCTCTCTCTCTCTCTCTCTCTCACACACACACACACACTCTCTCTCTCTCTCTCTCTTTCTCTCTCCCCCCCCACAATAATAATAATGATAATGATGATAATTAGGGTTTTTTTTTTTCTCAAGACATGGTTCTCTAAGTAGTCCTGGCTATCCTGGAACTCACTCTAGACCAGGCAGGCCTCAAACTCAGAGATCTGCCTATCTCTGCCTCTTGAGTGTTGGGATTACAGGTGTGCATCACTATGCTCTACCTATAATAAATCTTAAAAAGACATTCAAAAATTTTTTGCCTTTATTTTTTGAGTATGTGTGCCATGGCACATATATAGAGGTTAGAGGGCAATTTGAAGGAGTCAGTCTGATGGTCTGAGGTCAATTCCGGGCACCAACATGATGTAGAAGATAATGACACCTGATAACCCCCACACATGTGCAGCAAGCATGCACACCCTCCCCAATAAATAAATAAATGTAACAAAAATTAAGACATTAAAAAACATACAAAATAAAATACAATAAACAAAACTAAGATAAAAGAATAATTGCAGGGCTGGAGAGATAGCTCAGCGGTTAAGAACACTGGCTGCTCTTTCAGAGACCTGGTTCAACTCCCAGCAGCAACATGGCAGCTCACAACTGTCTGTAACCCTGTTCCAGAGGATCCAATGCACTCATACAGACATACATGCATGCAAATCACCAATGCATATGAAATAAAAATAAATAAATCATTAAAAAGTTTTGTTTTGTTTTTTTCTGGTTTTTCAAGACGTCTTTGGAGTCTGTCCTGGAACTCGCTTTGTAGAACAGGTTGGCCTCGAACTCACAGAGATCTACCTCCTCTGCTTCTGAATGCTGAGATTAAAGGCATGTGCCACCACCACCTGGCCATAAAAAAGTTTTCTAAAAAAAGAACAGTTGATTCTTAAACTTTTGGGTAAGATTAATTATAGAAATAAAATACAAATTTGCAGGGCTATAGCATAGAACACTGTAACAGCAGAAGCCTTAAAAATGAGGAAAAACACAGTAAAAGAAAACAAGAAAAAAAATAAAATAAAACAAACAAGGTAAGTATGATGTCCTAGAAGCTAAGTTTAATAAAGCAAAAGTACTACAAGGAGGAAAGCAACGTAACTGTCAAATACCTCTCTGGGTCGGACAGGACCAAGTATGAGAATCAACTTTGGGTTTAGGAGATGTCAAGGAATTCTTCAGAGTTCAGAGTCACAGCTTGGTTGACAAAGTAAGCCTTGGGAGTTAGGTGGCCAACAAACTTAAGACCTTACTTGTGAAGTGCAAGATTAGGAAATGAATGATGACAAAAGCCATTGAAGGAATTCTGTGGTCGGAAAACCAGCTACGGTGTAAAGGAAAACCCAGGAAAAGCCAAACCAAGACTTATTTCAGTAGAGGTGGGCAGGCAGAGTAGGAAGCACACACACTTGAGATTCAAACTGTCCAATGCACAGAACAGGTTCTAAGATCAGCTGGCTATCACTCCTAGAAAATCATTTCTGGGGCTGGAGAGATGGCCTTGCAGTTAAGAGCACTGCTATTGCTCTTCCAGAGGACTTGAGTTCAATTCCCAACACCCACATAGCAGCTTGAAACTGTATGGAATTCCAGTCCTAAGAGATGTGATGCCCTCTTCAGGCACAGGCACAGGCACACAAATGGTACACATACATCCAGGCAACGCATTTGTACACACAAAATAAAAGGAATGTCTTTTGGGACAGGGTATGGTGGCATACAGCTTTAATCCCGGCTCTATAGGTAAAGGCAGAAAGAAGGATCACTGTAAATTCAAAGTCAGTCCCTCCACATTGTGAGTTTCAGGCCAGGCAGGGCTACAAAACTAACTAAAAACAAAACAAAAACAAACAAAACACAAGAAAAGAAAAAGAAAAACCATTTTCCTAACTAGGTATGGCGACTCACATCTGTAATCCCAAAACCCAGGAATCTGAAGCAAGAGGACTATGGAGACACCAAAATAAGTAATGCTTATGTAAGTACAATAAATACAACAGGTGCTTAGAAACACCTGCCCCATAGGAATACTGGGAAAGTATACTGGCTGTTTCTTGGATCCATTACTTGGCCTTATAGCCAAAAGCCAAGCTAAACTCATGGTAACACAAAACTGAAATAACCATTTTAGACATGACTCTTAGCAATTACACTAAATTGGATTTTTGTTTTGTTTTGTTTTTGAAGACAGAGTTTCTCCAAACATTCCTGGTGTCCTGGAACTCATTCCGTAGACCATGCTGGCCTTGACGTCAGAGATCATCTGCCTGCCTCTGCCTCCTGAGTGCTGGATTAAAGGCAAGCACCAGTACCACCCATACAAATTGGATAAATTCTAACAAAAGAGACAGGCAATCTCAGTTCTTTTCCTTCAACCTGTCTTATTTTTGAGCTGTCAAATCAGTAGTCAAAGGAAACATCAACCTTTGTACATACTTGAATAAAGAAGTTCTAAGGAGCCTTTGTCTGTTTTGAGTCAGTTATGTAGACCTGACTTGCCTGGTCCTTGCTATGTAGCTCAGGCTAGCCTCAAAACCTCTGTCTCAGTCTCCTATGCTATTACAGACATGAAATACCATGCCTTATTTTTTTACAGTGTTTTTAAATTATTTACTTGTTTACGTGTATGATTTTATCTACATGTATGTCTAATGCCTGTAAATGCTACAAGAAGACATCAGATCCTCTAGAACTAGTTACGGATGGTTGTGAGCTGCCATGTGGGTGTGATGGGGGTTGAACGAGGCCAGGTCTTCTGCAAGTATAGCCAGGGCTCTTAACTGTTTAGCCATCTATCTCTCCTGTCCAAATGTTTTAAAACATTATTACTATTGTTGCTGTTGTTATTAATATTATTTGTGACAGGGTCTAAGTAGTCTTAGCTAGTCTGGAACTCAGTATGTATACCAGAATTTCAAATTCTGAAATCTGCCTGCCCAGAGTACTGGGATTAGAGGTAAGCACCCTAACAAATGAACTCCATCCACAGGCCCCACTGGACATTTGAGACAGGGTCTTACTATGTAGCCCTTGCTACCTAGAACACACAGAAATTCACTTCCCTCCGCCTCCATGAGTATGCTTGGCCCCGCTGGACTTTTATTTGATACTACTAGCCTAATGTAAGCCTTTCCACTATACAATGATTTTCCATGCCTTGTTTCATATAATAGACCGTTATCCTAGTGAGATCTTGCGGAAGTAAACAACTGACCGTCAGACAAAATACATTTTTAAGATCTAACCTTCAAATGTCCTTTGCCCGTAAGGAATTCAGAGTAACCAGCATCTGTGGCCAGCAAACCTACAAACTGCATGCTGGGCCGCTGCTGTATAAAGGCTTCAACAGCTTTGTCTGTCACATGCTTCCTCCCTGAAACATCCAGGGAGACAAGATTAGGCAAAATGTCCTTTTGCTCTAACAATCGCAGGGCTATGTCTGATGTGAATTGTTTATCATCTGAGATGTCAAGATGATTCAGATGTCTTAGTTCCCGAACAACATCAAGGATCTGGGTAGTAGTCATTTTTAAACATTTCAAATGGTGCATGGTGAGAGACTTGAGTCGGTCTTTGCAGGCCAGCAGGGCAGTGATATCTGTGATTGAGGTGTTAGAAATGTCCAGGCTTTCCAGTCTAGGCAAGGAAGCGACTTCAGCCAGGTCTTCGTTGTAGAAGAGGACATTAGTGATGCTCAGAGCGCGAAGGCCAGAAAGTCGGCTGAAACACCGCTCATACGGGTCCTCGAGGGACAGAGTTAATGAGTTTAGTACTAAGCACTGAAGATTTTGCTGGATCCACTTGTTACTGCCAAGGCCAGTTATGATGTCTGTGATAGTGATGTCGGCGTTCACACCCGTGGCATCAAGTTCTACTAACTTATGGTGGCAGAAGGCTTTCCGGAAAGCAACAGCGGAAATCTTTGCTTTGCGAATGCAAGCTCGCTTTAGGCGCATCTGATTACCCCTGAAAATTCCCACAGTTCCATCATTCAGCAGACCTGGGGGAAAATAAGCAGTATTTTAACTTAAAAACAAAACAAAGAAGCAAACAAAAAACAGTCAAAGAATAGCAAATATTTCCATCACATTTTAAGTTTCTAACATAATTCCATGTAGCTTTATTACACTTGATACAATTCTGTGAGATGAAGATACTATTACGTAGACTGAGATTCAAAAGGGGACTTTCCAAGATTATGGAGCTGGTAATAGCAAATAGAGATTCACCAACACCTGTTTGTCTTCACTCTGAGACACACAGGCAGCTGCGATCCCCAGTGCTTCCTTACAATTAGATATACCACATATAGTCAAGGGGCTGTAGGCTTAAGCACCCGCGTGTCAACTATGATTCCCCACACGCTCCTCTCCTTCTGGGACAAAGGAGAAGCTTCAAGTTCTAGAGAGATTGTATTATGAGGGCTGAGTGTCTACCAACCTGGATACTAATGTAACTAAAGAAAGGGAATCTTCAATGGACCTTGCAGAGTTTATATATGAGCAACGTTTAAACTTTACACTAACATATTGATACCAATATATTTCTAGACTACCTTTTAAATTCACAATACATTATTACATATATAGACATACACACAATATATTTAGTAGATATAATGGCTAGAATTCATTGTTAAACTATTAGTCAGAGCTGGGGATGATGGCACACACCTTGAATCCCAGCACTCAGGAGGCAGACGCAGACAGATCTCTGTGAGTTCGAGGCCAGCCTGATCTACACAGCCAGCACTGCATAGAAACCCTGCCTCAAAACAAACAGGCAAAAAATCCACTAGCCAGATCTGAAACCTTTTTATTTTGGTTTAGTGTTTTTGAAGCTGTTGTTGTTTTGTTTTGTAGATGGGTATCTGTGTTTATCAGACCTGGCTGCCCAAAACTTGCTTTGTAGATCAGGCTGGCCTCAAACTCCCAGAGATCCACCTGCCTCTGCTTCCCCACTCCTGGGATTTAAGACGCGTGCCACCACACCCCGTGTGGCTTAGTTCTTAAATTTTTAGAAATTGTACTTATTTATTCATGTGTGTGCACATGTCTGCACATGGCATGGCATAAGTGTGGAGGTCAGAGGACAACTCTATGGAGTTCGTTCTTTCCTTCTACATGGATCCCCAGAATAGAACTCAGGTCTTAGGCTTGGCAGTGGTGCTATTTATCTTGGGAGCCATTGGGTCAGCGTCTGGCGTTTTGTTTGTTTTTGAGACACAGTCTCACATTGTATCTCTGACTGGCCTCAAACTTGTAGACAGTGCTTGAAACACTGGCCAGGCAGTGGTGGTATATGCCTTTAATCCCAGCACTTGGGACACAGAGGCAAGTGGATCTCTGTGAGTTCAAGGCCAGTTACAGGACAGCCAGAGCTACACTAAGAAATCCTGTCTTGGGGGGAAAAAAGAAAAGAAAAGATCTGGGCATGGTAGTACACACATGTGATCCCAATACTGGAGAGACTGAGGCAGGGAGATCATTTTGAGTTCATTATTTAGTTAAACCCTCTGCCTCAAACACACACACACACATGCACACACAAACACACACTAAAGTAGAATAAAGTTTTTTCCTAAAGAAAGAGGGATAAAAGAAGAAATTATAGGACAAACGCAAAAACAAACAAACAAACAAACAAACAAAAAAACAGAGCAAAGTAAAAGCCTCTTAGAAATGCTGGGCCATGGCAGTGCACACCTTTAGTCCCAGCACTCAGCAGGCAGAGGTGGAAAGATCGCTTGAGTTTGAGGCCAGCCCGGACTACAGAGCTAGTTCTAGGACAGCCAGGGCTACACAGGGAAACCCTGCCTTGAAACAAAAAAGGAAATGACCTATTAGACAACAGTGCTACAGAATATGACACATAGGGAAACCCTGTTTCAAAAAATAAAATAAAAAAAAATCAGTTGCATCATGCTAAGGGATGTGTAGACAAAAGGCAGTACAACAACCCTGTCAATCAACACAGATAACCCCCCTCATTCACATCTATAACCAGCTCCTCCTTCCACTGAACTCCTCAGGTGGTCCCATCTCTCTTGGTAGTGTATCTGTGTATCTAAAACTTGAACTTTTTATTTTGCTATAATGAATCTTACTGATTTTTTTTTTTTTGGTTTTTCGAGACAGGCAGATCTCTGAGTTCAAGGCCAACCTGGTCTACAGGAGGAGTTCCAGAACAGTTAGCCAGGACTGCACAGAGAAACCCTGTCTCCAAAACCCAAAAACAAACAAATTTTAAAAACCTAGCAACAGAAAAGAAACTAATATAACAAAAAACTGAAACTGTTTTTTTTTTTTTTTGAGATAGGTTTTCATGTAGTCCAGACTGAACTCAAACTCTCTCTGTAGCTGAGGAAGACCTTGAACTCCTGATTCTCCTGTTCCGGCCTCCCAAGTGTTACAGGCATGTGCCAATACACCTAGCTTTTATTTATTTTATTTTTGGAGTATATATGCATGTTATACTGTACATGTGGAGTAAGACAGGTTTTTCCTTTCACCATATGGGCCTGTGGAACTGAAGGTCATCAGCTTTGGCAGCAAGTACCTTTACCCACTAAGCTATTTCAGGGGCCCATTACATCTGGCTTTTTATTTATTTTTAATTTTTTAAATTGTTTTTACTGAGCTATATATTTCCCTTTCCCAGGGGCCCCATGCTCCCAATTTACTCAGGAGATCTTGTCTTTTTCTACTTCCCATGTAGATTAGATCCATGTATGTCTCTCTTAGAGTTCTCATTGTTTTCTAGGTTCTCTGGGATTGTGAACTGTAGGCTGGTTTTTCTTTGATTTATGTCTAAAAGCCACTTATGAGTGAGTACATATTTGTCTGAGTCTGGGCTACCTCACTCAATATGATGTTTTCTAGATCCATCCATTTGCCTGCAAATTTCAAGATGTCATTTTTTCTCCTGTGTAGTACTCCACTGAGTAAATGTACCACATTTTCCTTATCCATTCTTCGGTCAAGGGGCATTTAGATTGTTTCCAGGTTCTGGCTATGACAAACAATGCTGCTATGAACATAGTTGAGCACATGTCCTTGTAGTATGATTGAGCATCCTTTGGGTATATAACCAAAAGTGGTATTGCTGGATCTTGAGGAAGGTTGTTTCCTAATTTTCTGAGAAATCGCCATACTGAAATCCAAAGTGGCTGTATCAGTTTGCACTTCCACCAGCAATGCAGGAGTGTTCCCTTTACCCCACATCCTCTCCAGCATAAGTTGTCATACTTTTAAAACAAATTTTGAGACTGAACATGCTGAGCATGATCACTGAGAAATACTGATATTACATAATCTCTTAAACTGTTGCACAGCATTTTAAGCGACTTACTTTTTTTTTTTTTGGTTTTTTCGAGACAGGGTTTCTCTGTGGCTTTGGAGCCTGTCCTGGAACTAGCTCTGTAGACCAGGCTGGTCTCGAACTCACAGAGATCCGCCTGCCTCTGCCTCCCGAGTGCTGGGATTAAAGGCGTGCGCCACCACCGCCCGGCGTGACTTACTTTTAATATATACTACTTACTGATAGTTATTCTGGTTCCTGTGTCAGAATGTGAGTTAAGCAATTCAGTGAAAATAATCAAATATAGAGGTTTTCTTTTCTAAATTATACCAAATAACTCAATTACAGCTCCATTTTCTTATTCTTCTTTGGGATGCATAATATGCATTCACACCTAACAATATTTTTCTTTCTTTTTCTTCTTTTTTACTTTATATGGGTGGGGGTAAAAAAGTATGTGCAGAGGCCAGAGGAGATTTTCCAGTCTTCTGTTGTTAGTCTTCTTCCTGTGCAGCAGGGTCTCTTACTGAACCGGGAGCGAATGGTTCTTCTAAGTATTTATTTTAAATCAGGGTGGCAACAATAATCCTTTCGTCTTCATTCCTTAGCAAGTGCTGGGTGTAGCCACACCTGGCTTCTCATATGACACTGGGGATCCTAATGCTGAAGTACTTCATGTTGTTGAAGTCCTTTACCCACTGAGCCACCTCCAGCACCCAACAGTATTTTTCATACCCATGTATGTGAAGCAGAGGCAGACGATCTCTTGACTTTGAGGCCAGCTTGGTCTACAGACTGAGTTCCAGGATAGCCAGGGCTACACAGAGAAACCCTGACTCAAAATCAAAACAAACAAACAAACAAAAAAACAACAACAGAAAAGAGTCAAGACCAGAAACCAGTTTTTTCATAATAGTATGATTCTCCCACTGTCAAGAGAAGATGTAAGGTATTTCTATACCTGTTGACGTCTATGTAGAAATACTGTAGTTAGAAAAGTTCCTTTTGCTATAAGAATCACTTTTTAGGTGTTGGAGAAACGGCTCAGTGGTTAAGAGCATTTGACATTTCTATAGAGGGTCAGTGTTCAGATCCCAGCACCCACAAATACTCACAACCGTCCCTAACTCTAGTTCCAAGGGATCTGACACCTTCTTTTGATCTCCATGGGCACCAGGAACACACATGGTGCACATACATACAAGCAGCCAGAACACTCATCCACATAAAATAAATAAATCTAAATATGTGTGTATTTTAAAAAATTACTTCTTAAATCAAAAAAGAAAAATAATGGTTTGCCTAGACTGGAAAGGAAAAAAAAAGCATTAAATCTGAAGCAAAAACAGGTCAGTAACTGAATTCCTTTTCCTAGAATCAGGCTCATCTGACTTTTTCTACTATTTCTAAGAAAACAATTAAAGGGGCCATAGCAGTATTTTACAATCCAATGCCAATTAACAGCACACAATTTGTGTCTTCCATCTTTCATCATTTACCATGAAATGCCATGGTCTGAAGCAGTCGGTCAGCTACCTCCTGTGGAAATACTCCGGGTTCCTGCAGACACAGTGTTCCGTCTTGTCTTGCTGAACAGAACTTCTCAAGGTTAGTGGTCAGGAAACTCAAACAGATGTCAAGTAAGGAATAGGGAGATGCTTCCTCCTTGGAACACAGGAAAGAGCATAAAGGAAACACAAAAGCGAACAAATTAATTTCCAGAAAAGTGGAGAATAAAACGCTTATTTACTCATTCAATAACTATTTATTGCCTATGAGACAGACAATAAATACCATGACAGCAACAGATACTGTGTTAGGCAGTAGGACATAGTCTGTTATGTGCATCTCAGAAGAACAGACATCCTGAAACAAATTTCCACCATCCCTTAAGTACTACAAGGGAAACCACACTGGGTACATGTGAACACCCAGCTGATTCTAACCAGTCAGAGGCAGATAGGGAAGGCCTCAGAGGAAGGGCAGATTAGCCCTCCTAAGTCATCACCACGATGCGCTATCAGGTCTTCATAGGCTCTCCCCACACTGAAGACAGCACTCCTTTTTCTTGTCTTTTGAGACAGAGTCTCACTGTGTATCTACCTCTGGCCGGACTAGAACTCAATATATAGATGAGGCTGGCTTGGAAATCAGAGATCCACCTGCTTTTACCTCTGAAGTACTAAGACTAAAGGTGAGCATCACCACGTGCAGGCATAAAGCCAAAAATTCTTAAAACTGTTGACTTTCCTGTCTGAATCCTTCTGTGCTATGTCCACTTAGCACACAAACTAGAGTTATCTGAATGGACAGAACCTTAATAGAGAAATGCAGGAAGAAAAGGTTTGTCTTAGCTCACAATTCCAGATTTCAGTACATCACAGGTCAATCAAGGTGTGAGGAGTTTAAAACTGCTCACATCACATCTACAATCAAGAGCAGAGGGACGAGTCATACACATTTGGTACTCAGCTACCCTTCGACTCTTACACAGCCCAGGACCCAAAGCCAGAGAACTGAACTGTACCACTAACTTTCAGGCTAAGTATTTCCACATCTGTGAAGGCACCAAGACAGTCCCCCAAAGACAAGCCCACAGGCCAACCTAATGTAGACAGTCTGTCACTGAAATTCTTCCCAGGTGATTTTAGAGTGTGTCAAGTTAACAAATAATTAACATCACATCTCCCTACTCTATCAAATAAGTATTTTTACAGTCTTCCCTTTCACCAGGAGTGTGGGTACTTTAGAATTCCTGCCTTTATGTGGTGGTCTCAGTCCTAATTCTTATGAATCAAATTCAAAATGTCATCTACTACTTGAAAGGCTCCTAAGGTTGACAAGCCCATCAAGAGACAACAATGGCACTACTAGTGACCTTTTCCTGTACACATGAAAGCTGTTTTTGTTTCATCTGTAAGAAGTACTTTTATAGGCTGGCAGTGCTGGTGCACACCTTTAATCCCAGCACTTAGGAGGCAGAGGCAGGTGGATCTCTGAGGGCAGCCTGGTCTACAGAGAGAGCTCCAGTACAGCCAGGGCTACACAGAGAAACCCCTGCCTAGAAACACCTTCCTCTAGAGTCATTCCATTACATTTTTATTTAGCTATTGTGTGTGTGTGTGTGTATGCACGCACACATGTAGGGATGTATAGTGTATATGGGAGCACATGCCAACATATACATGCAGAGGTCAGCACACCTGTCTTAGTCACTGTCCTACTGCTGTGAAGAGACTCCACGGTCAAGGCCACTCTTTAAAAGCATTTGATTGGGGATGGCACATAGGCAGACATGGTGCTGAGAAGTAGCTGTGAGTTCTACATCCTGATCCACAGGCAGAGATAGAGAGACAGAGACTCTGGCCTATCCTCAGTGATACACTTCCCTCAACAACCCTTCTAATCCTTCTAAGATTTGTTTCTCTCTCCACATGGGTCCTAAGGACTGAACTGAGATCAGGCTTTGTGCCTTTATACACTATGCTACTTTCACAGTCTTGGTTTTGTTAGAGATAGAGTCTCACTCTGAAGTTCAAGTTGTCCTTAATTCATGGCATCCTTCTACCTCTGCCTTCTGAGAACTAACAATCCTGATGTTGAGGTGCCGCCTGGCTTAATGTTATCATTGTTTGTAGTGCTGGGGCTCAAACCCAGAGCTTTTTTTTTTTTTTTCCCAGAGCTTTTTTTATGCCAAGTAAACTATCACTAAGCTATAGCAATCTTTTATTTTCTAAATATTGGATAAGAAATTAAGTAACTTAAAAGATTAGATAACATGGGGCTAGAGAGATGGCTCAGAGGTTAGGAGCATTGCCTGCTTTTCCAAAGGTCCTGAGTTCAATTCCCAGCAACCACATGGTGGCTCACAACCATCTGTAATGAGGTCTAGTGCCCTCTTCTGGCCTTCAGGCATATACACAAGACAATATTGTATGCATAATAAATAAATAAATAAATATTTTTAAAAATTAGATAACAATTTTTGATAGAAATGATTATTTTATTTTAGAGATTGGGTCTCACTATATTGCTTAAAACTGGCCTAGGGGCCAGAGAAGAGCTTGGCAGGTAAAGGTGCTTGCCACCAAGCCTGATAACCCAGTGTGATCCCTGAAATAACGTGGTGGGAGAGAACTGACTCCTGCCACATTCCTCTGTGACCTCCACACTCCCAATGCGGCACTCTTCATTCCTTTTTTATTAACATCTTTTTGAAGGACTAAGTAATATCTTGTACTTGGACTTCAGTTGTCTGGATTAAAATGCCATTTACAAAACTATGTAAACTTATTAGGTAAAGGACTTAGTCTTCCTGTATTTCAGTTCATGATCTAGAAAAATGCATAAGGCAGTTCCTACCTCATGAGACTATCTGTTGTCAGAAATAAATACACTCTAAATACAGCACTCCTGAAGTAGTGCCCAGCATGTACTAACTGCTGAGTCAGTGCTTATTATAGAATGTGAGTTCCACCAGGAAAAAAATGTTTTGTTCACTGATACAGTCATAAGCCTAAAATAACACCTACTACATCATAGCAACAAACGTGCATTAAACAGTGAATCGTCAAGCACAAATATACTGTTAGGTGTACTTCACACCTAGAGAAAGGCTACCTATGTAGCACCATGGTAGAGCATGTCCCTATTATACAGAATACTTGGATTCAATTCTGATCGTGACAGATAAAATAAAATGCCACAATATTTGAGCTGAGGATAGAGCTAAGTTGTAAAGCCTTTGTCTAGTACCCAGAGATACTAAGTCACGGGTTAGAACTGAAAGGTGGACAAGCATCACCGAAGCGCACACATACCCATCCTGACTTCCTACCACCATACTTCATAAGAAAGCACCTCTTGGTTCTTTGCAGTGCTAGGGTAGGGATTATACAAGTACAGAGTGTCACTGAGCTATAGCCCCCCCCCCATTATTCTGTACCAATAATTCCATCAAGTCAGGCTTCTAGAAATAAGCATCTGAGACCAGATGTAATCAAATCCTCTATTCTACCCCTTTCTGACACCTTACAAATGAAGAAGTCAATAAGTAGTCTAAAGGACATAGGTGATATCATCCTCAATACAGATATTAGGGGCCGAAGAAATGGCTCCACAGTTAAGAGAACTGGCTGTTCTTCCAAGGAACCTGGGGCAACTCACACCTGTCTGTAACTCCAGTTCTGGGAATCTGACACCTTCACAGAGACATACATGCAGGTAAAACACCAATGCACATTTTAAAAAAGAATGCAGATATTATGAACTACTGGACGTAGGGTTTTTGTTTGTCTGTCTTTTTGTGCTGGGGCTCAAACCCAAGGTCCTTTGCTTGTTTTTGAGATGGAGTCTCCTACCACAGGCTGGAGTTGAATTCAGAGACAGCACTCCCCCATGCCCACCCCCAGTGCTGGGATTAAAGGCGTGTGACACGATAGCTGGCTCAAACTCAGAATCACGTCTCCTCCGTGCTATCGAATGCTCTACTGCTAAGCTATCCCCAGTTGCTTTACTAAAAGAAATCACTAATTACTCTTTAGAAACTCTTAGATTAAAAATTAAATTTTCTGCATGCATCACTTCAGAACCTAGCCAATATGGCAAGTAGATATGTCCTAAAGGGCAAGGAGGCAGAGTTCTAGCAAAAAAGATCAAGGTCTCAAACAGTAATCAATCCCCTCCCTGCTTCCTTCCTTGGTCATGTAATAAAGCTATCCTAAGACATAAAAATTTAGGTCAGTAATCACTGGGCATTTATGGATCATACCGAGTGATAACACAGAAATGCCTCAACATTATTTCCCTCCTAGCCACAAGTCTGAGTTTTAAAGTACAACAGAGTTCACAGGTACAGGTTTAATAACGTAAAGAGCAGTTATGGGCTTTGCTACTTATTAGTTAGATGGTCTAAGGAAAAGCAATTAACGTCTAAGTTTCCTTGTTTCCTCATCAGAAGAAGTGAAGCTAGACCTCTACTTTATCTCATCAGACTGTAGTTTGGAATAGATGGGATGTGTGTAAAACTAGCTCTAAAATACTAAAGTAAGCTAGGCATGATGGCGCACACCTCTAATTCTAGCAAAGGCAAAGTAAAGCGGAAGGAATGAAAAGTCAAGGCCACCCTGGGTAACAAAGCAGGTTCAAAGCCATCTAAAGCTGCATAGTGGGTGTAAATCTCAAACCAAAGACTACCTATGTAGCACCATGGAAGAGCATGTCCCTATTATACAGAATACTTGGATTCAATTCTGATCGTGACAGTTAAAATAAAATGCTACAAAATTTGAGCTCAGGATAGAGCTAAGTTGTAAAGCCTTTATCTAGCATTCACAAGGGCCTGGGTTTGATCCTCAGCATTACAAAAATCCAGCCAACCAATCAAGAGCCTTTATGTTATTAGCAAATATGAACACCAGTGAAACAAGAGTCCTTGGTATGAAAAGTTTGATTAATACATTCTTCAAATCTAAGAAGTCAAGTTTATGAAAAACTTAAACTCTTTAACAGTAATTACCTTTAATTACCTTTCCTTTAAGGAACAGGAGAGCCAGGCTTAGCATTTGGAAGGGAGAAACAGAATGAGCGGGAGTTCAAGGACGGCATGAGCTACATGAGACTCTAACTCATAAATCAATAAAAAATTATTTTTTTCAAGACAGGGT